TCCTCCCTCTGGATCTCCACTGTAGGGGCCTGGAGGGGGATGGCCAGCTGCAGCCCTGAGGTGTTTTCATTGCACCTGCCTCATCGCAAAACATATACAGTCAGACAAATGTCTTACCCCTTTAAAGTATCATTTAAAGTACATTCCATGATCCCTGTGCAGTGAAACTTACGTAGGCCTTATCCCGAAACACTGGTACCAGATGATTCTGGGAGCAGGATAGCCAAATGAGGTGCAAGTGAGGGTGGTTATGTTTTCCCATCTAACCACAGCAACAGGTCTCTCTGCCAGTGAGGAGAAATGTAATGTTAAGACAGACCAACAGCAAAGTATCATTCAGAGTTTAATGAGACTTGTATTTTCATTTTACATGATCATTTAATCGTGCCAAATAACTGTGAATGGGTTTACTGATTTTGTCTTTACTATGTCACTTACGATACATCTGGACTTGGAATTTGATGGATGCATTGGCCAAGTCACTCTGGGCATAAAATATGTATTGCCCTTGCTCCTGAGCATTCATTCTCTTCAGCTGCAGAGTAGCATGGTATCTTAAAATCAAACAAAAATATTTTTTAGCTGAGAAAAAGAGGAACATGAAATGACTCATTTTGCAGTTTGAGGACATTCAGACATGTCCAAGTTATCATCGTAGAGTAAATCAACAAGGAAGACGAGAACACTGTTCTTCCCTTTAGCATGACCTGAGAAAAATGCAATGACCTTGAAGTACAAATTATTATTTTCTGCATTTGCAAAGAATGACATTTTTTAGGGTTCGGTCTATTTGTATTTGTGTTCGTCAGCAGCATTACAGAAAACCTACAGGCTATCTATGAATCTTGGTTGAAGGGTGTAAAATGGGCCACGGAAAAAACAAAGATGGCTTGGATACACACATTCATTTTCACTTTCTGTGCTGACATCTTGAAGTAATAACATTGAGTATTATCAGAGTTTTAAATCCAGGAACCCTAGGTTAAAAACTCACATATTGAGATTATTATTGTATTATTATTATTTATATTATTTATCTCCCATTTCACCAGCACGGTTGTACCTGTTGTTGTATCTGATGAGCTTCTGCTCCTGTGTGGAGGTGTTGGGGGATGTTGGGGTGAGCCATCGATGCTCTGTAATGCGGGGGTACGCTTCGATGAACACAGTGAGCTCCAGATCTTCGCCCTCGTTCACTTCCAGTGAAAGCCCCTGGTGGGCCAGTTTAGGGGAGAGCTGGGGCAACAGCCTGATGTAGGCTTTGTCTGTTTGGATGAACCAAAACCATTTGTTTTTAGAGGCTGATGATTCCCGTCTTCATTATAAGACAAAAGAGGGAATGGTTGTTTGTGTTCCTTACCTACGACCAGCAGGTATGTGGTTGAACTGTTCACCCCTGCTTCATTAGTGCCAGTGCACGTAATATTTCCGGTGTCTACCAGGTCCACAGCAGCAATGGTCAGGATGCTCTCTATGTCCAGGCGGTTTTCTCCATTGGAGCGAACGTTCTCCTCTATGGTGGATTTCTGAAGGCAAAATATGGGATATAAAAGCCAAGTTACAAATACTATTACTACAGCAATCAAGAACACTCCCAACATGTCAAATACTGACCGATTTGGTGGTGTATTTCCACGTGACGTTGTAGTTGAAGTTCGGGTTGTGTGTTGTGCAGCGAATCTTGAGTTTCTCCCCAACAATGCGCACATATTCATCCGTCTCCAAGACGACATATGGAGGAAAACGAAGCTCTGGAGTAAGAGAAATTATGAAAAAGTATCACACTTGGTGAACGTGTCACTTCTAATGAATCTATGGCAGCTTTGAGTGACCCTCCCTACAAATCAAGTGGCCTCACTCTGAATGACGTTGATAGAAAAGGCCTTGGAGGTCTTCTCCACGCCGTTGACCCTGGCTGTGCAGACATAGTCAGCATTGTAGCTGGGATAGAGCCGGTGGATGAGGATACCACGGTGCCGGTAAACTGTAAAGTTCATCCCCGGTGGCACGGAGGTGCCGTTGTCCATGCGGAGGCCCAGGTCTGTGGCGGTGGGGTCTGTCAGCAGGCAGGGCAGCAGGTAGTCCTCCCCCTCCTTCCTCACCACCTGCACAGACGTGCTGCTGGTCCAGAACACACGGTTTGGGTCTGGTATAGAAAGTGTTGTAAAGAATGAATTAGATCAAAGAGCAGTAGAGTGATGTTTGATTTACACAGAGAAGATCTAGTGAACAATCACAGAAATGATTCAGTTCTTATTTATTCAAGCTTACCTTTTACATACACATGCACTGAGGAGGTGAGTTGCTGTGGCCCAGTGGTGTAAACACATTTGTAGGTTCCGGTGAATTCTGCAGTGGGACGTTCCACCTTCAATGTGCGGACGTTCCCATTGCCCTTGGAAATGTAGCGTCTGTGTTTTGGTAACCGCGTTTGCCAGGTTACAGGCCGGTCCCCCTCACACCTCAGATCCAGAGGGCTCCCGAATCGGACCACCACCTCAGAGCCTGCCACCATCTTAGAGTTCCACTTGATCACTGGACGCCTCCATTCTGCTGAAAAGGAACAACATATGAATACATGAAGGCCTTTATTGACTATTTGCAGGTTGTGTAAACATAGTGTGTGAGCAAATGAATCAATATTAACTTTGTTGTTGAAGTTAAGCTTTTTTCTTTGTTGAAAATCCAAGACTTTGTTTCTGAAAACAACAACTGAGGACCCAGAGCTGTCTCGCCTGCTCCATGATTCAGATCTATTTTGGAAGCCCCCTTCTGAATTCAGGAAACAGACAGAAGACTGGGAGCCGAATAAAATCTGTCGCTCCCTCTCACTTCTGCTTTTTTTAATCTCAACAATTGTGTTAATACAATTGTAAATAAGTAAAGCCTTATATATATATTCAGATTTTTGATGACTTTGTATAGGATTTATTAGTTTGAGGATATTCTTTCGGGTTGGCTAACTTTTGTGAAAACACAGGAAAGACTGACATCTTTCCTGTCAACCTGAAGCTTTCTCATTTAGAGTTCAGTCACTTTCGGTAAAGGTTATCAAAGTGTCAGTAAGAGGTTTGGACAGTGTGTTTTGAAGCTTAAAGCAGAACCAAGATTTCATGTTCAGCATTTTTCTATTCAGTAAACAAGGTACTGTTGAGAACTAGGAATGAAACAAATCAGCATTTTAGTTCTGAACCTCCTGATAGTCAGTGTAAACATTTGTCTTTCCCTAAAAGTCCTTGTTCCATCGTCTCAATGGACTATTCATCCAACCTCAAAATGACCCCAATAGCACCTCATACGGTAATGCACCAGAAAGCAAAACAAATTCCTTCAGCCATAATTAAACCCAACAACAGATGCTTTTATGTACTCACATTTAAATACATGAAATTGCAATTTGATGCTTGGCGGGTGATCTTCATATGTGTCATATTCAGAGCCAAACCAAAATGGGGAAAAAAAAGCGTGTGTTTTGCATCTCAGATGGAAAAGCAGACTCTGGACTGACCACGAGTTTATGCCTTAAAATGTATGATGAAATCATTAGAGCGTAATACACAAAATGTAATGTTTGTATTTTCATAAATCATTTGTCAGTTGATGCAGAGAAATATGTCTATTAGAGAATATATATTATTAAAATTGGATTTATTTAAAACTTTAATACAAAGCTTTTTTCAGACATTGCTATATATTGTCAGATTTTACATCCTTAAATCAATATGAAAGTGGCCAAGAAAAACACTGTATGTGTCTGTTTTATGGTGATCCTCTTCCCATTGCATTGTTTAAATCTACTGTAGGTGTAAACAATATAAACAGTGAGGAGAAGATAAACTGAATTCTCTGCAGGAGTGTTTTTAGGGCCTTACCTGAAGCAGCAGATGCCACAATCCCGAGCAGCAGAGCGAGGTAGAACCGCATCCTGGATCAACTCCAAACCTGCAGCTTGAACGTTGATTTTTGCCCTCGACAAAACCTTCTTATTTTGTTCTGTAGTGTTGGAGAAAGAAAACATCCTCTAAAGTTTTGTTATCACTCACGCCCCTCATGAACTTCTCTATTCTGACTGGTCAGAGCAGCTCTGCACGTAAACATGAAGAACTATTTCATTTACTGCAATGTTTGTCTTCTAAAAGTGTACATTCAAATCAGGAACTTATGATGTATTAGTATGAAATACTTTGAGGAAGTGTTTCATACTAACAGTAAAGTAAGGGAATTGATTAGTCACTTCACTTTTAAATACAGCTGATGTATTATGCATTATTTATTTGTACTCACCTGTCAATGTCTGTAGTCTCAAAGAGGGGTATAATCACTTCCCTGGGTTTGATGTTTCCATCCAGAGCGGACACACGAGTCCCTTCTTCTTCCCTCTCTGTCTGTCTGTCTCTGACCTTCTTCTTCTCCCTTCTGCTTGTTTACAGTCTCTTCACTACTGAAGCCACACAGCAAACAAGAAATCTCTGAGACAGCAAGTGGTGGAGGGTGGAGGGAAGTGTGTGTGTGTGTGTGTGTGTGTGTGTGTGTGTGTGTGTGTGTGTGTGTGTGTGTGTGTGTGTGTGTGTGTGTGTGTGTGTGTGTGTGTGTGTGTGTGTGTGTGTGTGTGTGTGTGTGTGTGTGTGTGTGTGTGTGTGTGTGTGTGTGTGTGTGTGTGGAGGCGGATCAGCTTATCACGCTCAACAAATTAATGAGCCAGTTCCAACTTGCCACAGAAAGGCTTGATTCTCCAGAGACATCCGTTGAGGTGAGACTAATCAGTTCAGGCTTTTCATGTTTAGAATCATGGGAGAGGGACCTAAAGTGAAAGATCTTCTGACCTACAGTAGGTGTCAGAGAAAGGCCCTATAGACTAGGGAATAAAGTCCATATTAAGATGAATAAAAGTCATTGTTCGTGCAGTGTTTAGAGGGATGTAATAGATGTTAACAGAGTAAGACATTCAGTGAGAGCTACAGAATTCATAGAATGGTCACACAAAAAACTCACACTTCTGCTGCAATTATGATGATACACATTTATTGTCACATTTACAACATACAATGGCACATATAAAAAATACATTTGTAAAGAGCTTTGGTACCGTAGCTTGTGATACAGTGATCTTGTGCATTTTAAAATTGCTACAGAGAATGATAATGTGTGGTGTTTAATGGTGGAAATGGTGTGAGGGAATGCTATACAACAGAAGACTCAAAGCATCATTTAACATGTACACAAACAGCAACAGTACAATAACTCTATATATCAACAATAGCTGCAAGATAAAGATCTTTAAAAGTTTATACAAAGGCACTCATGCATGCCGTCTTGTGCTAAGGCAGTGATACGCTGTATTAAGAGTTTGAGAAAGTCACCTGTGGTCACAGAAACTGATTTACTGTAACAGCCACATGATTCTCAGTTGGACTATTCCCCTTTTTTGTGTCGAGAACATTTACTGTATATCTTCCTTATGAAAATCCCAATTTGTTTCTTAATAAAGTGCAAATCTGGCACAAAACTATGAATTCAAAACAAGTATGAAATTCACAAAAACTCATAAATGTTTCATATAAATCTAAAGAAAATAAACTAAAAAAACATCATTATGGAATATGTAACTAAAAAGAAAGTATTTCTTATAGTAAAACAGTGCATGTAGATTCTGTCTGTATTTCATGTCCTGGAAATAACATTTTATAAAAATATTATAATACAGTGAACACAGCTACTGATCGTACTTCAGGAAGAAATGTAACATAAAGTTCAAATTAAATGACTTAATGATAATGATTATCACTTAAATGTGAACTACACATTGGTCTTGTTTGAACAGTATTTCTGTACATTTGTTTATGGTTTGTTTATATTGTTGTGCTAATCATTTTGTGTTATTCAGTGGTTGTGAACAGTTAAGGGTGATATAAAACAGAAAAGGCCTTAAAAGACACATATGGCTAAGTATTTTTTAACTAAAAAGGCACATAAGTCTTTACTGACTGTAAACTGAGTGTGAGGAGAGTACCGTATCTATATTATCCCAATCTTCCGTGAAATGCCTGGAAGATAACATCCTGCTCATTATTGGTAGCCTTTTAAGTTACAGAGGTACTAAGTTTGATACAAAACTCAAAAAAGGGTAAAACTTCTCTAGTGTTTAGAGGAAATCATGGTGGCAATACAGAGATTGTCTCTCAGTCTAAATTTGCTACATTCTAGTTAAATCAGGTTCCCTTTTTTAAGGCAGGATTACAAATTAAATTTCCCAGAAAAGGGGTTATTTTTCTAAGGGTTCCTAGACATGGCTACAAGAAGCTGTCTTCTACCTCGGGCGTCCCGGAGCAGCCCAGCAGAGCGTCTCTCTCGCTGGTGTCCTCCGGCCGGTCGTCTTCTGGGAGAGTGTCAGCCGTGTCCTGCGACATGGAGTCAGTCTCCTCCTCCAGAGCCAGAGAGCTGAGGGGGGGGGGAGACAAAACACACACTTACTTTGTGCAGTTTTATACAAGAAATAGAAACACACACCCCATACACAGTGTTCATTAATGTCTGTTTGTGACCTTGGCATGTTCCTTCAAGAAAAAATAACATTCTGAAAAAAGTATATAATTTGGCCGACTAGAAAAGACATAACTGGATTTGGACGGAATGCATCCAACACATTATTTTCAATGTTGCTAAAAAATACATAGATATTTATTTTGTTAATCAACAAATTATTTGTCAATCTACTAATTAATCAACTATTTCAGCTTTTCATAACTTTACCGTTATTAAGCCTGTTGAAAAATCTTGTTATTGATTTGCCTATGTACTGAATATTTCTTATTATCCCCAGCATGCGTGAGAGCGATCATGTGTTTGGTTGTGTCTGTATCTGTCCGTCTGTCCGCAGCTAATCTCGCATAATACATGAGCCATTAGCCTAACGTTGAACCGGAGCATGTACCGGCTCATTCCATACCCGATATGTTATATCACCTCTAAAGTTAGGCAAAACAAGAGATGAATACATCTCTGATTTTGTTATATTTGCCACAACCTTGACTAATAGGGTCAATTATAGGTCAACTTTTCAATATTTTTGAGGGGAGAGGGAGTCACACCTGGCGGAGATCTACTCTCTACTGAGTTTACTTTTATTTTAAGATGCTGCCTGCTGTGTCCACAACATCGTTATTGACATGAGTCTGTGGTCCTGGACCAACACCGCTTGGGTTCAAATACCTCAAATGCTAACCACAATGTTAACGGTTCAGTGTATACCCCAAATGTAAGCAGAAGAATCGCCCCACTGCCAACATTTAAAACACAGGGATGGAATCTGCTATCACTCCTGAACTGATTTGCTGCTTTAAACAAACAGACTGATACTTTACAGTCCATGTTCATTATTAAAAACACAAACTGTAAATATATCTGGATTTGTAAAAGTCAAATATTTACTTTAGAGCCAACTGTGCTTGGCTGCATGTTTATATCTGCCTCCATAATGCAGCTATTGTCTCAGCTCAACATCTGGATGAGTGGGTGTGTGGTGGAAAAGAGAACTGCTCTTGTAAAACAAATACATCCTCATCTTTATTCTCCCCAGCATTTGGCTCACATCTGCAGCATCTTTTTTCAGCAGCTCTGTACCTTGCAGGGCTTTCTGATGTGACATCAGTGAAAACGTCGTCGGGCTTGGGGTCTGGGATGGGGATGATGTATTCGTTGTATGCAGTTACGACTTCCTGTGTGTCTGCCTCTTCTCTGAATTCTCCGGGGCCCGGGCTCTGGGTGTAGGGGTCCGGGGGGACGTAGTGCGGGGGTGGGGACCCGAAAGCTGGGTTGGCGATCGGAAAGGGTGAGGAGAGCCTGGGTTTGGTGCGGGTGACTGCTGGATGGTCACTCTTCAAGAAGCTGTCATTGACTTGGTTGTATTTCTGTTGCCAGGGGACAAATGTTTGGTATTAGAAATTAAGAATCAATCCATAATCAAACAGTGTGAGGTTGTAGAGTGCATCTTCAGGACAATGAGCACTAAAGAGCAGAGGTGGGAAGTAACACATTAGATTTACTCAAGCACTGTACTTAAGTACCATTTTGAGATACCTGTACTTTACTTGAGTATTTCCATTTTATGCTACTTTGTACTTCTACCCCACTACAATTCAGAGGCAAATCATGTACTTTTACTCCACTACATGTATTTAATACCTTGAGTTACTTTACAGATTTGGATTAATGATGTGAAATATATTCACTTAAAGGGGACCTATCATGCAAAATGCACTTTTGTACGTCTTTTATACATGAATATGTGTCCCCGGTGTTCCAGGGAAATCACCAAGTGTCAGAAAACACAACCCTCTCTATTTTCCTCCATACCCAAATCTCTAAAAAAGGGGCTGCAACGGATCTGATAAAAACTGATCCAGATTTGAACACTGTCCTGACGTCAGGACAGTGGCGCTACGGCTATTGGGCCAACTCCACCAATCAGGAGGAGACAGCCACGGCCATTGCCGTTCGAAAGCGCTGGAGACGCTGTAGTACATATGCCAGGCCTGTAGATGGTGCTGTTCTCACAGAATCTGCCCTTGCAAAAACAGAGCGAAAAAAATGTCAAATTGAGCAAAATGAGGCATGGCTAAAATGCATGATCTGTTTGGTATTTTGAAAAAAAAAAAGTATAAATATGCCTTATATAGGTATGGTCCTACACTATATTATTCAAATATAGCATGATAGGTCCACTTTAAATAAGACTTTAGTTACACCTGGAGTAAATTCACAAGCTACCCTGCAGCATACAAGTAATTAAAACTAGCTGCACCTTTACCAGCTTTGATAAACACATGAATGAATCAATACAGCACCACCTACAGGCCTGGCATATGTACTACAGCGTCTCCAGCGCATTCGAACGGCAATGGCTGTGGCTGTCTCCTCCTGATTGGTGGAGTTGGCCCAATAGCCGTAGCGCCACTGTCCTGACGTCAGGACAGTGTTCAAATCTGGATCAGTTTTTATCAGATCCGTTGCAGCCCCTTTTTTAGAGATTTGGGTATGGAGGAAAATAGAGAGGGTTGTGTTTTCTGACACTTGGTGAGTTCCCTGGAACACCGGGGACACATATTCATGTATAAAAGACGTACAAAAGTGCATTTTGCATGATAGGTCCCCTTTAAATAACATTTGAAGATCCAATATATATGGTATAAAGTTTTTAATCCAAGCTCACATATCAGACACCCTGGAATCAGCATTAATATTTAAATAAAGTACCTTTTTGTAGCTGTCGGTCAGCATATTCCCAACACTTTGGACCAGAAAGGAGAACTCAGGCCTACTTTCAAACTTCTCGTCCCAGCACTTCTTCATGATTTCATAACTGCAACATAAACAACAAACAGTTAACAAATGTCTTATTCCAAATGTGTGTCTGAGTTCCTGCAGAGGTAAGATTGGTGGCGAGGTAACAATGAGACTCACACTTCATCGGAGGCGTGTGCAGGTTTGGACATTCGGTAGCCTCTCTTCAAAGCGCTGTAGAACAACTCATTCATGGGCAGATCAGGGTAGGGGGTTCCTCCTGCAGACAGCATTCAAATGTGATGTTATTTACATGTATTATCTGAGATGAACGGCACCATCTGATTACTTACATTGCTTTGATTGATTGATTTACATAACAAGTAAACCTATTCAATAAAAAATACGCAGAGAGTGCAGAGAAAGCTCAATTTATATCTCAATTTGACAATTAGTCAAAGTCCATCAGTCTGGAAGACAACATGTTCTGACCCAGATCTGTAAGAAAATGGATCTCTTAAGTCCAATGAAAGTGTGATTCAGACGGGGGAAGCGCAGAGAATCTTTGTTTATCACTTACAGAGGCTGGATTGTGAGCATGTTTTCCACCACTTGAGCTTAAGATGCATATGTAATAAACTGTCTCCTTTGTTTTCTTAGTTTCCAAAAGTCGTGGGAAGTTTCCTTTTTTTTTTGTTGAGGAAATGCTAATTTCAGAGATTGTCTGTGCCTAATAGGGTTTAGACCTCTTATGAGTGTTCACACAAACTGCTATGTACTTTCAATCTGATATGAAATTCGTTTTGCATACACACATTTACTGTCATAATGGACGATAAGAATATATCATTTACAGTTCCCCAGAAGTATGCAGGGGGTTTTGTTTGTATGAATGAAAGAGGATTCAAGCTGATACAATCTGTACAATGTGACCTATATAAAGCAATAAAAGAAGATATGTTACTATTTGTGATTTGGATTTCTGTTAATGGCTTCTTTGTGTGTTAGTGGTGTTTTCTGTGTGTTAATGTTGGTAAATATGAGTGTGTTAGGACTGACCCAAAGAGAAAATCTCCCAAAGAAGGATGCCGTACGACCACACGTCGCTCAGGGTGGTATACAAATTATGGAAAATACTTTCTGGTGCCATCCACTTCAGGGGCAGGAAGGTCTGGATGAAAGAAATGAGAAATTAGAAAGTCCAGCAGCTTAAGATATATTCCAAAATGCATCTATTTGCTATAATTGTGGAACCACAATGATCTTATTTTGCGGAATCTTATTTAGATATAAAGCACCTTTTAACTTAGTTTCAAATATAATCCACTACTCTACGTCATATTCATTTAGCAGTGGCCACTTACGCTGCCTTTAGAGATGTAGTTGGAATCATGCATGATGTCTCTGGCCAGGCCGAAGTCGCAGATCTTCACCAGTTTCCCCTCGCAAATCAACACATTCCTGGCAGCGAGGTCACGATGGACGCACTGTGGTTGGATAAAATAAAATAGTTGATTTTACACTTTTGTTGGTTTAAAATAAACAAACAAGATATAAACTCTTACTTCATGATTTGAAGAGGTGCTGGTAGGTGAATTATTTTTATTTTCAGACAGTGCCAGGCTAGCTGTGTCCAGTCTTTATTCTAAGCTAGGCTAACTGGCTGTTCCTTTTTTTATTATGTTTATTTTCTATCTATCTATCTATCTATCTATCTATCTATCTATCTATCTATCTATCTATCTATCTATCTATCTATCTATCTATCTATCTATCTATCTATCTATCTATCTATCTATCTATCTGTGGTGGACAGAAACTAATGAATTACATTACATAATTACAATGTTATGGAATTCATACTTGAGTAATAACATTTTTATATTTTATGCTTATACTCCACATCAATTCAGAGCCAAATATTTTACTCTACTAAATGTATTTGACATTATTAGTTATTTCGAAGATTCAAATTAATAAAAAATATTAAAATACATATTTTATTTTTCTTCTTTACTTTTGTTACTTTAAGTATTTTGTTATACTAAAACACTATAATGTCAACTTTTCAGAAGTCATTCATTACTGATTATAGATTAATCACACTCAGTGTGGCACTATCCATTTCAATGTAGACAAATCCACAGAATTTCGAGTTAGCCTTCAGCTACATATCACGCAACATTCTTTTTAATATCCTACATTCTTGGAGGCGAGGAACTCCATCCCCTTGGCGACTTGGTAGCTGAAGCCCAACAGATCGTCATGTGTGAGGGCAGAAGAGTCACTGATGAACAGGTCCAATCTGCTGCCACCTGAACACGAAGACAAGGTGAGACAATAGACTTGGTGAGGAGCATCTCATGAATGAAGACATTGTTTTGTTGTTTGGGGGTGGGGGGGGGGGTGCTCTGGCTGTCCTGTGACTGCATGGGCTGAAATGTAGCTCACGCCTTTCATATGGAGAAACATTTATAAGGGCTTTTTGATCAAAGACCGTAGAGAATTCAAACTGTATTCATTGATTTATGAGGCCTAAACAATTCATGTGTTCATGAAAAGCACTATTTTAAGCTCACTTTTCACACATAAATACAGCAACATCAGCAGAAAAGAAGTGGTGGGCGTCACATCATACTGTACTTCAAGAGTAACTCCCTTGTTTCCTGCATAAAGCATACTGAATTCTTCACACTTATTTTCATTTACAACCCTGGAGAATGAATTAGACTGTTGAGACTTAAATCAAAGTAGAAACAAACCTTGTTCCTGATAGATGTCATGCTGGTAGGGAGACTCGTATGGAGAGGGTTGGATGTCTGCATACTTGATGGTGTCCATATGCTCCTGCATGGGCATGTAGATGGAGGGCTCATCTTTACTCATGTCCATGTATCCTCCGTCACTCTCACTCCCAAAGGACACATAGCTGGAGGGACACATGAAGTGATAACTAAACAGACATAAATCTATCTTTCTCATGTTTCTTACTCATATCAAACTTATCTGGGGACACATGTGTTTCCATGTCTTTGTTTGTGACAGCAGAGATTTCTTGTGTTTGTCTGTTTTTCTCACCCTTTCCTCTGGCTGAGTGGAGTGCTTCCTCCGGAGATGAGGCAGCTTTCGTCCTGGTTCTTCTCGGCGTAGTTCTGCAGCAGGCTGTGCTTGTTCCTGTGCAGGTAGTCCACCAGGTCGCCATAACGACAGTACTCTGTCACCAGATACAGAGGGCCTGGTTGGTGGAGAAGGAGAGCCGCAATTAATTTTCATACAACAAAAATACACATAAAAAATATTTTATTAAGCTCCATGAAGTTGGTAAATACTAACGAAAGCCTTTAAGATAAGTATATGGGCTTATTAAAATAGTCTTTTGCCTTTTCACTTGAAAGAAATCCTTAAAATAATTAAATTGTGCACTGATGCATACAATACCATTTTGTATAATTACATACAAAGCCTACTCAAAGCAAGTTAAAAATAAACATCTAAATGACATAATTAAGAAAATACTACAAAGCATTGCACGTTTTATTTGTTAGCAATCTTGTCTGGAAATACACTCTTCTTTTGTAACATCCTGTAAAATAGTACATCTTAATATTATCCATTTATTTAGCCTTCTCATACTATACTTAACTTTAAAAACTTGACATGGGACAGAGATTAACCTCAAAAGTAAATGAGGAATGGTTGCTTTTTTCACCCATGTATTGATATTCCCTTTTAGAGAACATTGGAATGAAAAATGTATTTATGTAGTTCACGGACAGAGAAAGGGTCACAGAGGAATGAACAAGCCAACATTTCTCTGTTGCCTTTGCAGAGTCATCAACCAACTGAACCGCCATGACGGTTGTAGGAAATGCTCACAGCTGATTTAATTTTAATGGGTTGTTATACAAACCATGAAATGCACTAATTAATCATCTGTGTTAGCACAGTATAGCACTAGCACTCCTTGTGATGTTTACCTTGTTTGGTGCAAGCTCCCAGCAAATTCACGATGTTGAGGTGTGGGCCCAGGTGACTCATTATCTTCAACTCTGACATCAGAGCCTGAGTCTCACTCCTCCTGGCTGTAGCTGGATGGTGAGACAGAGAGAGGGAGATGTATAAGATTTTATTTTACTACTGTAATTTACCCGCAACCACCCTTCATTCTACAATGTTACACTTATTTTATTTTATAAGTACTGCTTACTGCTTACTTAGTTAGTTTTCCATTAATGTGTACTCCTGTAAGTTGTAATCATTTATTTGATGATATTTCACTTTGTCATTTTGATTTTTAATGTCGGTTGGAGATTTGAAAACATGGTCCTGCAAGTACAATGTTGTTTGGGAGTGTCCTGAAAGACATGTGTGAGTATTTAAATACTATGTGCATGCCTTTTTATCTTATAATGTGTCATCTATACTTTGCTGTCACAATGTAAATTTCCCCTCTGTTGGACGAATAAAGGATTTCTGATTGTGAGTAGGTCAGCATGAGGCAGGTGTGAGAACAGGAGACCTGAACACACTGAGAGCAGGACACACTGTTTTCTTTCCAAACATTCAATGACCTGTTGGCTGAAACTCAGACCAGGCTGGCAACCGAACTAAAGACCAGCAGGCTGCTCTCTCTCTCTGGGCTCGCAGGAACAAGGCTCTGGTGTACCAATATCTGACAGCTACTGTATGCAAGGGGCTCTGCTGTGGTCTCTATGTTATTCATACAAGTGCACACATGGCTTTTGACTGGGTTTTTACATTGTATGTCTTACATTTCAACATTTTCACCGCAACCTTTGTGCTGGACTGGGAATGAGCGAGACCGTACGCAGTTGCCTCGACCACCCTGCCAAAGGCTCCTGATCCAAGAGTGCGACCTGAAACACAAAGACAAGCACAGTGGGACACAGTGTGAATGGAGCACATGATAGACCTGAAAAATAAGAGAGATCCACTCTGTTCATTCAAAGATCAGTGTAAACACATTTCTCTGGTAACTGGCCTGAGCAGGTTACAACAGATAAAGGAGTTTAACCATGGAGGGCCTGAGTGAGCTTGGGAAGCTGTCTGTCTGTAAGGAGCAGCTGACTACCAACGACACATCAACAGACACAAAGAGCTTTAAAATGAGGAGGGATTGGTGCCAAGAAAACAAGTTTAACAAACCTTACTTTGTATTCTAGCCTCCCAAACCACCAGCAGCACCAAAGTGACCTGCTGATGTTTTTGTCTAGCGATCTACTAAAGGTCTAAAAGTCTGTTTATTCTCATTTAACAAGTGATGTGGACACAACAACAACTGCAATGATTTGGACTTCAAGACAAAAAGTATATGTAATTAGATTATTATCATAAATGTATCAAATAAAATACAATTTAACAAAGTAGTAAAAAACAAAACAATAAGCAACTAAAAAGCATGATGATTACATTAATTAATATTATTCTTACACATACAAATAAATAGAATGGTTAATGTATTTTATACATGCCAATGCAGGCTTAGAATGCAATCCAATTGTATTGATTTTCTATTTAATATATATATATATTGCTAACTATATTATATTTATTTGTGAAATGTGTCTTTCATGTAATTTTCTTTGGATTAATTAAGTGGTATTCATCCATGTTTATGAAGACATTTGAAATAGTTTACTTCCATATTTAAAAATATATATGTTTTTTATTATTATTATTTTAGTGTCTCTTTAGAGTCAAATGAAGGATGGCATTTTGTCTCTGAATGGCTTCATGGTCCTCATTTAGCTGATTCATCTGAAGACTCACCCAGCACCAGGTTGTCTCGCGGCATCTCCCAGGCGAGGTCATAGGGCAGGTGGATGGGATCCACGTAGATGTACTCGTGCCCTTCCTGGCTCACAGACTCTATCACTTTCCATCTGATCTCATAGCGAGGTTTCTGAGAGCACAGAGAAAAACACTCATGTTGGCGAATAAAAAACACCCTGAGGTTTCTGTACATTTTTACTCGCTGTACTTTGTATTTGCTAAATTCTAAAGATTGAGTTTGTGACTTTGTTTCTCACCTTCCTCCATACAGCAACGAGGATGATGATGGATATGATAATGATGACGACTAAGGCCAGAACAGCAGCCAACACTGCCACCTGGGAGTACAGCGCTGCAACAGGCAAACAAAGAACATTTAATAAAGCTGTCTCATATTCTCAACAAACACAAAACTTCACTTTATAAACATGTTTGCAACGCAAGTTACACGAATATTCATAGCTTCAGTACAAAAACACATTAATGTAGGTTGTACTGTGTCTCTGAAATGCGACTTCTCAAACAGGTGTTTCACCAGACCACCATGTTTGTTATCTTATACTAAAGCAGCATATTGCACATTGACACAGTACACATTTTAAATTACTTTAGACGACTTTTAGAAATGTCACTTTCTTTCAAGGATTCAAATATATCAAAGGCTTTATGGACACTGCTGGTGCCCCACGAGGACGCATACGGGAAAACGCATACACAAACGCAATCGCAATCGCAAAAAAGGCTTCCGTCCACACGCAATAGACACCGGATAGTGTCTGTTCACACGAGACAGCTCCGTTTAGCTCCAACCGCTGGAAAAGCTGCAGTACATATGCCGAGCCTGTACGTGGCGCTGTAACTTCCTCCACAAAAGCAGCGAAGAAGCATGGTTGTCATGGTTGCCCTTCTGTTTATTCTCCGTGGTGGGGGCCGAGGGAACCGGGCAGAGTTTTTCGCCGGTCAACGTGTGTTAAAGTTTAAATCTTCCGGACAAAATTATAAAAGTGCCGGTCAAAGGTCTTCTTTGTTATTTATTGAGCTTTAAAACAAATGAATAACGACTCTATATAATAATATAATTATAAATTACACGGAGCCTCTCTTTTTCCTCCCTCTCTTCTGACAGTGTCAGTGTCTGTCTCATGCAGCAGCTGATCCAGTAATGAGTGACCCGATAGTCAAAATAAAGATATTTATAACTAGTTTAGGTAGTTTGAGAGGTAATTAAAATAGCTAAGGGTGATGATCTGACTTGAAGGTGAGCAGAGCTGCGTGTCTCCGTCCTGTCAGATTAGACTTCACTCGCGTTTATGTCCATATCGAGAGAAAGATAAATAATCTGAATTCAGTGTGGGGTGAGCAGCAGAGGGGGGGAGAGGCGAGGCTATTGCGTCATCATTATCAGAAAATGATCGTATAGGGGCGATCACACGGAGCCGTTTGACCCCCCAGAGCGCTCCGTTTGCAGATCTATCCACCTTGGGACCCGTTATCGTTTGCGGGGTCCATTTCTATCGTTTAGTTACGGCCTCGTGTGGCAAAAAGGGCTATACGCAAGAGAAATATGCGGATACAACCCGTTTTCGTCCTCGTGGGGCAGGAGATATAAAAGACACAGAGGTGGGACATTCTTCTGTTGACACCTACTGTTGGACACCAGTTTGACGTCTCTTCTGTCGAGGAGTCCGGCCCGGTTGCTGGTCTCGCAGCGCACCGTCACCTGCTGGGGCTTGTGGAAGGTCACCTGGCTCCGCACCTGGTTTGTTTTACGAGTGTCGCTGTAGCTCACGTTGGTCCGGATGCTCACCACCTCCGGCTCTGCTATCAGAGGCTGCCACACCTCCGTCTGGTTGCTACACCTGCAGCAGGACAGGGAATGAGTGGACAGAGTCAAAACAAGTCAAATTTGAATTGAATGAGTGTGGTCAGCCTCCTGGTGTTTGTAATGTGACAGTGCAGTGATGAATGTGGGACTCACTTGTGCATGCTGTCACAGCTGTACCACTGGATGCTCGGGACCGGGACCCCCTCAGCAACACAGGTCACCAAGTGTTTCTTTCCAGGGAGGTGGTGGTCCGTCAGGTCTTTAATCTGAGAGGGAACTACACACAGAGGGAGCAGCTGCCATTAATCATTGCTGACATGGATACAAACATAGTATTTCAAGTCAAGCTGCAGTTAAAAAAGTTAAACTATACAAGAACGCATTGTATGATGTGATATTCCTCAAACAGCCACTCACCTTGTACCTCCAGGTCGAACGTCACTTCCTTTGTGTCATCTCCGTTTGTGACCAGGACGCTGTAGAGGCCCTTCTGCTCCGTCCTCACCCTTACCAAGGTTAGAATAGTGACATACCTGAGGGAGAAGAGAAGGTGAGGATATTTATAAAATAATAATGATTATTTATTGCTTTTTTCAACATAAACATTAAGATTCATATGGACAAAATGAATCATGTGCATGCTTTCAGTTTCTATGAATATATTACTTTGTTTAGAAATAGGAATGTATATTAGCTTCTTCTGGGTGTCCAAACTAATTTCTAGATTATTATCCAACCCTTTTTTGTGACCAAACATTCATTCTTTTGCCTTTTTCCTATCATGGACGAGACACCATGTTTAAAAGGTTCAAGCAACTGAAACATTGTGTTTACACGGCACAACACATCCAAATTCACTCAACTAGGAAATCACACATGTATACCAAATGTGCATACATTAACATTCACATAGTGACATACTAATTAAATACAGAGATAACTGTTGTGATTAGTGCAGAAAAAAGTATTTAGACTTAGAAGAACCCAAGATAATCACATCACATTTCCAGTGGGATAATTAAAAAACAAAACCCTGGGATAGTGTTGTTATGTTCTGTTCTTTAAGAGTTGTCATATGTATTTTTTCTAATTCAGCAGAGTTTATTCCTAGAAAAATACAGTCACATCTGTTTTTTCTTTGTTTTTTATGTGTAGGCTTGTGGTTGTCTCCAATTTGTGAACCGAGCATGCGGATGATATTTCACTTTGTCTCTTTGATTCTGAATGTGTGTTGGAGATTTGAAAACATAATCCTGCAAGTACAACGTTGTTTGGGATTTTACTGAAAGACATATGTGAGTTGTGACAGGTATCCTGTGTTTATGGTTCCAGTGTGATGAGTGATGGAGTGGGCCCTCTTGAGAGTATAGAGTTTCTCTCTGCGGAGGCCTTATCTGGTGACGACTGACAAGAGCTGCGCGCCTCCGGAGGCTGTCACCCTAACTGAAGTGTTAACTTCTTAAATGGATCAACTTGTAAGAGTTCTATAATTAGTTTTATGGTATGTAGGACATTTTTTATGGATTTGGTTGGTCTCACCTGATCTCATGCTCTTGTCTGGTTGTGATGGGTTTGTGTCCCTTGATGGTTGCCCCGTCTTTGCTCCAGCGGACCTGAGGGGGAGGGTAGGCTTCAATCTCCACCCTCAGCTCCACGTTCTCCTGCAGCCGGGCTGAAATGTTTCGTTTCTGAGCCGCCTTCACGTCCACAAAACCTCGCTCTGAGCAAAGAAAATAACATCATTAGCAACAAAACATAAATGTCACACACTGGATCTTCTGCATCAAATCTTATTATGTAATTCTCTGTAGGTTTAACACAAGAAGCATTATCTTTCATACAGTAGTCTTGTAATCCATTGTAAATATAACATTATTAATTGAATTATAGTCATATTATTGATTATATTTAAGTTGGTAGAGACAGTACTGGAGTGCTGCTGTTTGTTGCTGACCTTCTGTGGCCAGACACTATCTGTCTTTTCCACTGACATGTCCAGAGACCACTACTAAACTGTCTCCATGGAGCATGGCGGCTCAAGCTATTCAAGGATTTCATAAACATAACACACCTCGCTGCAGAAAGAATAAGCATTCACAGACCCAGGCGCACTCAGTGACTGTCAAGAGAGAATATTGGCGTAATGAACCCTGTTTTTATTCACCCTCAAGTTGCAAGATCACATATTGCTTTGATGCTGAACTTATTGAGGGTTTATGTTAACATAGGCTCAGTTTCTGCTGTGGCACAGGGATGTTTAAATCTGGCCTGCGGTCTTTCGACACATGTCATCTTCCCCTTTCAACGATGTCATTCTGCAATAAAGGCTAAACTGGTCCAAAAAAGAAAAAGCTATACTAACATTTCTTGTCTACCTGGAGTTTATTCCCATAAGTCTAAATATAGATCAGCTGTACCCCCTTGGTCTGTTATTCAAGGAATCACTCAGGGCATCCGCACCATGTGAACAGAAATAAACAGAGGTCCTCTTCATTTCCTTTCAAAGAGGCACCTCTTTCACCTTGACTTGAAGAGGTTTATATAATAAGCGGGATTTCTCTCTGTCAGTGAAACACAATAATAATCCGGCATCAGTTTGTTTTAGTTTTGTGTGGATGCGTGGGTTAGGCTGACCGAGCACAGTGATGTTGACGCTGGCAGAGGCAGTCTGGTCTAGGACAGGCTCGTGGACATGGCACACGTAGTTTCCGCTGTTGGCCACCGTGGCGTGAGGGAAGATCAGAAAGGAGCGCATGTTCATGTTGGGCAGGACGTCTGTCAGCGGCTCGGCATCCTTGAAGAAAACGGAAATTGATAAGAATGTGACATTTTAATAGTTGAATATGATGCTGGTTGAAATGTGCAATGTTGCATCTACAGTATGTATTTTACTGCTCTATGACATTCTGTAGGATTTTTCTTTATAATGAAAACTTTCAACAAAAAAAAAGTGTCAACAAAAGTGTCAAAAAAGAAAGAAAGTTGAATATGATCAACATTTGAGTGATCAGATATCTGCATAGTGAGCAATCATGAAGTAATGTGTTGTTTTACTTTTAAATATTTGAATTCCTCTAGATTCTACATGTTAGTGAGTTTTTCTGCCTTCCTCAGTACCAACATCTTAAATGAATCTGAAAAGCTGAATCTTTTTATGATCCCAGAATGAATTCAAAAGAACAGACCATTACAATACCAACACCACATGTTGTCAGAGGAATATCACAGGGGGATACAAATTGAGGTGTGTCCACATCTTGATACCATTAGGGCTTGGTCCTGAGGCCCGAGAGTGATCAGGAAGGGAATGCTGAACAAAAGTGTGTTTCTGCTCCACTCCCACTCACCTCACTATTGGGCATATCCCAGGAAAAGTCAGCTATCTCGACTCCGTGCACTGTGCAGTTTACAGTCAGCGGTTCGCCCTGCTTCAGCACGGTGTTCGACGCATTGATGTAGACATCGATGGCCTCTGGGACTGGAAGAGGGAGTGTGGGGGAGGAGGAAGAGGTGGTGATGTTATTAATCAAAACAATATGTCGAAAAGTGTCCTTCACAACTAATCAATCACATAATTGTTCAAAAATATACCCTCAACTTATATCATTATCTCATCAGTATTAGTCAGAACTGAACATTGTAGCTGGCTCCAATATTGAACAAAAACTCTAAAGCTCCACAAAATCAAAAAACTTTGATACTTTTAATTTCTCTAAACATGATGTGCAGCATTTATGTGTGATCTAGACGTATTATTGCACACTGAGACCAAAAACCCAGTATTTACCTCATTATCTCCTCACTTTAAAGAACTCACACACCCTCCAGTAGTTTTTCACCAGAGAGTTGTAAAGTGACCAAAGCTCCTGTGTAAGTATGGGAATGGATGAAACTTTTGGACTGACAGTTTAATACTTTGGCTACCAAACTTGTACATAATGCTGCACAAGCTGTTTGAAGAGATCTGATGCACATTTTACGAGTCATTTTATGGTGCTTTAAAAAGATAGACCCATTAACTTTAATAGTGTGGGTGAAGGCATACATTGAATTAAAGGGGCCAACTATGTGTGTGTGAGTTTTCTGGAGTTTCAGCACACACAGGGTCGAGTCGATAATGAACACATTTTTATCTTGGGAAAAGTTGTTTCTCTAACTGAACTCTTTAACCTGAACACTCACTGGTAACGCTGTAGACGTAGAAGGCCTGAGACTCCATCACCTCCCCGTTCATCTCTCCACGACACACATAGGTCCGTTCCTCCAGCGGTGCCTTGTACCCCTCGCTGGGGACATACAGCCCCCTGATGGGCTGATCAGTGTCCCTCTCATACAGGGTGACGTTGATGTCAGGATTGCTCACCACACAGGGGACGATGCTCTCCTCACTGGTCTTTGTAACCATGCCGTGGGAGCGCTCTATGAACCACACCTTAGGGTCTGCAGAAAAACACAATCTGATTGATTATATACTCTAAATCATGGATCCAACTCTAAGTGTACTATATGTTGTCACTTTACCACACTACAAACCACATCAGTGTGGAATTGAGACAGCTTTATTTTATTAATGAGATACAGTCTTGTTTCCACTACACAAGACATACTGAGTCAATCTTAAATTGTCTTTGATGTAAGGCAGCTCTTACAGGATATATGAAACTGAACCAGTACCTGGAACAAAAACGGCCACCTCCTTAGTTTCTCCAGTGTGTCGGTCAACACACAGATACACCCCCGTGTGCTTCCAGCTCATGTTCCACAAGCTCAAAACACTGGATGTGAGGTTGCTTTGCACAATTTCGTAGCTAGGACCACCATTTTGAACTTGTTCCACTTGGCAGTACGGCACATCGTCCCTCTTGAACTCCCAGGTGGTTTCCCCTGAGCCGGAGCAGGTGAGGCTGAGAAAGGAGCCTTCAGCCAAGGTGAGCTCTTTGTCATCGGGTGAGATCTCTACACAGCGCAGCTCGGTGCAGAAATACAGGAGAGCTGCAGTTGGCACAACAAGAAGAAAGGTCAGGTTGGAGGTCAAAGAGGCAGCAACATGAGGTCAAAGGTTAAATCAACAATACATGGCAGATCCTGTTCTATCTCTAAATGTTGAAGGATTTGAGCTGCTGGAGAGGAAATGTGGGAGGATAATGATGCCTTGTCACTGACAGATGTATTTCAAATGACAGAGGTTAGTTTGAATGCATCATTTGTCCTTTACATCAAAGTTTGAAATGAAATAAGTAATCCAAAAATAATCAATAAAGTGTCTTTATATATAAGGGCACGTTATATGTCTATAATAAAGTTTTCTTTACGTTATAACTTCATACACTGAAAAAATGTTTGGAAATCTACCCCCCTACCCACCCTAAAGAACATATTTCATACTGTTATGTTAATGTGATGTTAAAGTTATAACCATACATATATTAAGTTATAACCATGCATATATTAAGTTTTATTTGGATGCTTTTACATTTGAAATCTGTAAGATACAAAGCTTGCATACTAGGTCATGCTCTTCGCTTCCCTGCAAAACAACCTGCAGTCCTGTTTCAGATTTCCATTTGTGTTTGTTTATTGAAGCTCTCACCTGTCACTGTGACCGTCAGATGAAGCGTGGATGCCGTCACCCTCCTCATGGTAAAAGCATTCAATGCACTTTATTCTGCAGGACAAAAAGAGTGATGACAATGCTGATTAACCTTCATGTACCCTTAATGGAAATGTTACGCCCCCACATTGCCTTCAAAGTAAATGTTTCAAGAAGAAAAAAGATCATTCTGTCAACAAAATATTCAAACACTGCTGGTTGACATAGACCCCACTCAACCCAGCACAACAGTTGACATCTCTCATGAGGCTTCATATCATGATGGATTTATTCCTGTCCTCATGAGCTTTAACAGGAGTTTAGATATTAAATCACATTTTAAAAATTGTTTCCATCAAAGTAAATGCTCTGCTCATACTAAGGAAACAACATATAATTAGTATGTCGTCAAGCTGCTTTCTTTAATGGTTTCTGGTCGTCAAACATGAGTCTGAGGTGCAGATGCAGTTCACTCTGGAGGTATTTTATGCCTCGCTGCACCAGGACAGAGCGACAATGTCTGTCTCTTTTTGTTCCCGGTTCACCGGCATTCTGCCTACTAACAAACGGGTCACTGTGTGCAGCTTTGCAACACGCTCACTGGCAACAACGCTGCGTCCAAGCTATTCTAGAGCCGTGCTGAGCCATTAATTGGTTTTGTTGTATACAAAAGTGAAAATGAGGGCATTCACACAAGCTGCTGACACAGTCGTGTACTCATGATTCTGAAAGTTGCTTAGGTTTTGATATATTAATAGGATATCATGTTGTATATCAACTTGATATCAGTGTTATTGGGGTCAAAGGTGAATAATACTTACTTTGCCATCCTCCCATACAAACATTAACCACTGTTGCCATTGCCAGGAAAAAAGGCAGAAGGAGAGATTGAGGAGGGGAGGAATGGTTTGTTATTATGTTTGGGATGGGGGTTAAGTCTTGCAGCAAGCACACGTCTGGAAACAGTTAAGGATGGATCACAGGCCTGTACGCAAGAGGGTGGGAAAGAGAGTGAGGGCGGAAGAGCGTGCCTTGGGAAGAGCGAGGGTGGAGGAGGAAGTGAGGGAGGGAGGCAGTGGAAAAATTGTGAAATGTATCTTGAGCAATCTTACCCCATATAACGTTATTACTCGATAATTCATTCCAATTTTCAAACTTCTATTTTAAGAAATATAACTTTCTTTCTTTTCTTTAGCCTTTAGCCTATCTTTAACCATTTTGTTTGAGAGATTACATTTCTCAATCTTATCTCAAACTTTTAGGTGTTTTGCTAATATTCATTTATCAATTGTCTGACAACATCACCTCTAAGACTAATTCTTCAAAAGTGAGTCCAATACACAGATTTAGTAATGGCTATTTTTAAGAGAGGACAGATGATTCGTCACTGTGGTAAGGAGTTCCATGACTAACAAATCAAAGCTAGTTACTCAAACCAGAGATACATGTTGTCTCTAAATGAACTGCCATTGGCATTTCCGCTCTCAAACCATAACCTCTTGAGTTGCTCCAAAAACATGACTGGTCCATTTCCTCCCCGGCCTCCTGGTTCTAATCAAAAGGGGTGAAGGATAGACGTTTTCTCCTTTGTGTCATAGTCCACACACATGCGCACATACACACACCCTTACTTGCACATGCGCTAAAGCACACACACACACACACACACACACCCACACCCACACCCACACCCACCCACCCACCCACACACACACACACACACACACACACACACACACACACACACACACACACACACACACACACACACACACACACACACACACACACACACACACACACACACACACACACACACACACACACACACACACACACACACACACACACACACACACACACACACACACACACACACACACACACACACACACACACACACACACACACACACACACACACACACACACACACACACACACACACACACACACACACACACACAACACACCACACACACACACACACACACACACACACACATATTTCCCCCTCTTACAATTTGTGTCACTGATGCTTGTGCACAGTTCACGTTCCCACAGTATATCTCTGGAACTTTCCCAGGACCGCTGATACACTTGGGACCCTGCTGGTGATGACGGCGGGAGCAGGGGGGGGGGGGGCACCTTCTCCCCGGGGGCCCCAGCAACCAGCAACAAGGGACAGTCCACTGAGGAAGCCATACATCAGCGCTTACGAGAACCATCGTGTCAGGGACGATGATTCTGAGCGACAACAGCCAAACGCGGCGACGCCAAAGCCATGTGTCTCTTGGCAGCATGAGGACTAACAAATCGTATTGTGACTGGCTGCTGATGCTATTTCTGCTTAGCCAAGCCAAAGAGCTACATTAGGGCCACTGCAGGATATGAGTTTACATCTGAGATCAGCAGAAAATTGAACAAGAAACTAGGTGTGTTCAAATCTTTTTTTGAGGTCTTTGAAAAGGACGGAAAAATAATGTTTGGCTACCGCAACATGATGAGGTTTCATGTTGACCAATGGGCAGGGGGGGGGACTTTGAACAGAGAAGGAATTTGACCCTCAAGATATGATGAGCTGACAAGGATCAGAGGGCCATAGAGAGCCAGACGAGCACTTTAAAGAGTTAAGAGAGTGAACACTACAGCAATATTTAGCAAGTACTTGGAACATTAAAGTCAAAGTCAAAGTCTTTCTGCAAGGTTATCTTAAGAAACTGTTGAAAACATTTGTTGTGCTTTGTCACGGTCATATCTTTGATTTGTTTAAAGGGGTCAGGACACAAGTCAATCTGGCAAGCAGCTTTCAGTATCTCAGTAACTTTGACTTAATAAAAACAAGTGGTAGCAGTTTGACACGTAAAAAAAAGAAAACAAAACTTGTTGTTTGTAGCAGAGTCAAAAGTGGTGCTTGAGGCAATTTACAGTAAGAAAAATCCTTGATATTCAAAACTCAAGTCAGGTCAAGTGGCTTTCAATCTAAGGAGCTTGTGGAGGGTCTTAAAGATCTGAAAACATTTTTCTAACAGAGATGTTTATTTATGTCTTTTTAATCTTTGAAATGGGACACTACATTTCTGCAATGATGGTGGAGGTCAAAAACAAACAGTGTTTATGTAAGTGATGGCACAGTAATCGCCTTGACGGATAAACTGTTATCCCACTGTATATGTTTTCCCACAGCTGCTGGGAATTTGGTGGCTGACTGACCCCTTTCTTGTTTTGATAAACAACGCTGCTACACTCAAAGTGTCACAAGCTAATGAGAAAGAATGCTAAAATCGACCATAGCGGGACGCACGCAGCCCACGCATAGCCCCACAGCAGCCCGTAATCCCACTCCTGGGATTATCTATATATATACTGTAGCTGCATGTTTTATTCAAACATCTGGCAGCGATGAAGCAGTCCTCGATGAGGTGGGAACTGCTTTGTGAACCACGTTTGCAGCCAACTGTTTGCTCAAGTGGGTCCCAAGGGGGTTGCATTTAGAAAAAGTGTAATCTATAACAAAAGAGGAGAAAGATGTCCAAAAAGCAGCTGGAGAGCTCTGACTTCCTGTAAGCCAAAGGGGGAATTTTTTTTGTTCTTGTGTGGGTGTGAGGCTGTGATGCATCACTGACACAGCAGACCACCGCACAAACTAACCAAATACTCATGGAGAAAACAAGAGATGTCACAATGAGTAGAGGACAAAATGTAACTTCTAAAAGAGGGAAAACAGTTTTAAATAACAAGCTGCACAGAAAAAGATGTAAACACACAATCAGGACTGAGAAAAACAGATAGCAGGAGAAAAACAAACTGAACAAATAAATATCGACATGCAAGAACTTAACCAATTAGACAAATGACAAAGCATGACGAATCAACGCACCACAAAAACACTGCACACAGCACCAGACAGTGGAAAAGACAACAAAGGGAGATTGCAGACATACAGAATACAATTGATATGAAACACCACATTAAAGCAAAGAGTGAGACAGAGCAGAGGGAGTGCACACACAGCTTACATCACACACACACTGATGTTTACTCAGGAAGCTGTTATCTGCAAAAAAAAACATCTCTAATTTAGCGGTCACTTGTTTCCAATGCAAACAATTATTGCTCAGATAAAACAATCACTGAACACTGAAGCTGCAGCGCAAAATAAATGCACTCTTTTAGCTTTTAGAAGGATGTCAAGTTGTGTTGGCCTATCTCTGAACAGCAGGACTTTGGCAAGCTCTGTGGGAAAAAAATGACCCAATGAGCCTTTGCTAAAACAAACCTCCATTTTTATCACGGACCAACCCCCCTGAGACAAACCTTCTGGTCCCTCTGCAGCAGACCCACAATGCACTTCACCAATCCCAGGCACCCTAGCTGTCCCCCTCTCTTGGCTAATACACACTGCACTTTGCCAGAGCTGTAATAATGAATGATGAGCCACAGGCTTATGAGTAAAAGGCCTTTCAGCGCAGAGAGCACACATGTCATCAACATGCTGTCAGAATTTGCTAAGTTACTGTAAACAGGACATGTGTGCAGTCTGTTTATGGAGCCTGTGTTTGTATCATAAAAATCCATCTTTCATATTGTAGAAGGAGAAAAGAAGACAGTTACACTTCCAACTTGTGAGCTATGAAACATTTGAGTTTTTGCAGAAATGTCAGGGCCTCATAAATAGGTTAGATTCCATGTGTTTGTTCAAAAGCACTTTTCGAGCCATGTGTGTCATGTTTAAAGCTGCAATAATAATTCTGCCAGTTCCGGTGACCTTAACACTTAACAGAAGTTCCATGGAAATTTAGCACACTTTTTTAAACAGTTATTGGTGTTAGTTCCCTAGTCGGGTGCTATTAGGCAATTTCAGAAGATGAAAGCATTACATTACATGTTACCTGTTAGACGCTTTTATCCAAAGCGACTTACATACTCAATACTGTGGGCAATCCCCACAGGAGCAATTTGGGTGAAGTGTCTTGCCCAGGGACACAACGACATGCTGACTGCAGTGGGCTTTGAACCTGTGCACCCCCCGATCCGAACACCAACGCACTAGTCCACTGCGCCACAGCCTCCCACAATAAGATAAAGTAATAAAACTCTTGCCATTCAAATCTCAAACAATGAAAACAGAAAACATTCACACATGGCATTTACGCTTCTGTCATGACCATCACAGTCTCCTCTTTGGTCCCAGATACAGATGTGATGTTTGCCTCTTTTTGATATTTAAGTGACATGCAGACTTTTCTGCTAATTACTTTTCACGATCTGAAAGCAACAATCTGAGGGGAGCTGCAGAGTCAGGAGATCTTTCTCTGTTGTTTAATCAATAGAAACATGGAATATATACATATATGTAAAACATCAATAGAGACGTGCCACATATTTCTAAACTCAACTTGTCTGTGTCGCAATAGTTTTGGCAAACAATGCGAGACACATTAATGCTGAAATGAAGTCTGACATTGTTATTGTGATAGCTGCAGTGGCTAACAGCAATAGTTTCAGTTTGATAGATATGTCTCACTTACAGTGAACCCAAACAAGAAGCTGCCGTTCACAGCACTTTGAAAAATTATGTATCATCAAAAATGTATCCTGTAACTTTAGAGCTGGAAGCTGCACTAAAGCCACATAAAGTTTGCAATATCATATCCTTGTTCTTTAAAAAAATAAAGTCCCTTACCGTTACTCCTGTTGATTAACCCCTCTGGTTTCATTTGGTTCAGCATTAGGACACAGTGACTGTGAGTGGTCTTACCTCAGCAACCAGAGCGACTCTGTACTCATGTTGAAGCAACACATGTTTGGAAACTGTGGATTTTGGTTTGCTGCCTTTCAAACAGGGTTGTAAATGCTGTTTGTAGTGGCGGTGGGGGGGATGTGAAGGGCTTCTGGGTAAAACTGACGGTTGTAGAATGACAGCCTTGGATGTGGCTAGTGTTTGAAATCAGTTTAATGATCTAATTTTCTACTCATTTGGGAACCTAAATGAGGGAAAAATAAATAAAATAACAAAAACTAAAGCAGCTGTTTTCATTGAAGTCATGTCAATTTTGCAGAACAAGTCAGGGTTAATCTGAGTGAGGTTGTGTGCTTCGTCCCAACCCCAGCTAATGCAAACCACCAATTGGGAATAAGGGGATATCAGGTATATGTGCTAGCATAAGCAACAGCACATCCTCCCACGCTTTTTTGAGACCTCTGCACCCTCCTTTTTCCTACACACCGGCCATCACCCCAACACTTGAGGGTATAAGCCCCTCAACCTGCCCCGTGAGAAATGGAGGACGCCTACACACACTTCCAGTCCATCTGACACACCCACCCCCCCTTAAAGTTAGAAACAGCTGAATACAATTAGTCCTGACTGGCTTTACGTTCCACTCCCTAAACTCAATAATGTTGGAAGGAAGAGGAAAACGCAGGAAAAAAGTGACAGTGAAGCATCACTCTGGCCTAAATTATTCAATGTGTGCAGATTTAGTCAAACTTAGCTGCAAAACAATCTTGGAAGAGGTATGTTGGGTATTGTTCTCTATGCATGAGTATTGACAAATCATATAACTGTTGCTCAACAATGTTACCACATTTCTCATAAACATAAGACAACCTGAGAGAAATACAAACTAGTCTCTGTTTTTCATTAAGTGGAATATTCGTATCTTGGAAAAGCAAAGGCTGTTTTTCTTTGTCCGCCTGTTTCACTGCAGTACATCACCAATGCTAGCATGTTTTTGTTGGACCGAGGACAGCAACAACTCTAGAGAGAAAGAGTGGAGCTTTATAAGGATCTGATGGAGACATAACTTCCTGCTGAAAATATGGATTTTTCTATGGTTATGGTGAACAGGCTTTGTTTTTGTTGATATATTTACCAGAAAAGTTGCTATTGTCTTTTCGTACAGCACATGCAGTGGAGTAAACAGAACATTATTTCCCTCTGCAATGTAGTTTAAATGTAGTTTGCCATATTTACAGTTTGTACAGCTACCTTGAAAATGACCTCTTTGCATTTTAAGAATGATTTCATGAGTGTGATATGATAAATCATAAAGAAACACTTCCTCCAGGAGTTGTCCTGCAGAGGTCCTGTGCTCTCTGGCTGAGGATGAGATGCAGCTGCCTGTCAGCTCTGTGAGTGGGTGGGAGAGAAAGAAGGAGGGAAGGAAGGCCAGATGGACGGGCCGCCGTACAGGATGCTGCATCACAGCTCCACTTAGTCTAGCTATGTGATTCAAACAATAAGTACCACATTTAAGAATCAGTGACCCATAGGCACGGCAGGGACATGAGACTGATATGATTTCTAAGAACCAACAGCTCAGTTGAAAAGTATGAGGGGTGAATTATGAATCAGCCAATAAGTGACTGAGTCAGAGTGTGAGTCAGACACTGCTATGTCTAAAAAAATGCACTCACCAATAAGTGTCAGAATAATCACGTGATAACATTTCTGATAGCTCTGCATTACTTTTTAAACTCTAAACTGCATGCTGATCTGAACAACGTCACACTGGTCTTCAGAGCCCGGTTGCTGAACAGCTGTTAGTTCCGCTCACAGTAGATAAATCACAAGAGGACAGAAAAAGGATGAATGTGTTTCAAAACTTGCTGCTGAGTGCAGGCTGTTACATATCGGCACATGTGAGCCAAGCCAGACTCCTGGCATGTTTTCTGCATGGTCATAATGTAAAGCACATTTTCTGAGAGCGGCTGGCATGTGGAGAGCCCGGAGAGCCAGGAAACAGCTGATGACGAAGGATTAGGTCTGGGCTGCGCTGCATCGGGGCCGGGGAGAAGAGCTTCAGTACATACCAGCAGCCTGACGCACAGGAAGAAAAATCCCCAACCGTCCACAGACAAATAAAACATCACCATGTTTTACAAATCCAGTGCAATAAAGATCTGTTAGAGTGTATTCACTGGTCCTGTGTTCAGCAGGAATCATCCGGCTGATGGTTAAACTATGACATGAATGCAACACCGTCTAATACCATTGATGGTAAAAGTATGACATGTATGCAGTTTCCCAAAAGCTCATCTAGACGACAGTACTAGACAAAGTCTGGACCGATATATCCACAAAGCCAGAGAAGATCAAAAACTTCAAAAAGAAACTCCCAACTGAGGAGGAGAGCAGCAGACACAAAACACATGCCAACGTTGTTTTGACTTCAGTCTGTGCTAATTCAGAGAGGTCATCTGTATAAAGATGATGAATGTGCAGCAAAGCAACCCAACAACTTAACACTACAGCAGCCGCACATAGTAGGGAAGCCAGGAAGCTTTCAGGTGCAAAACATATGGCGGATTAGGGAGAAAAGACATGCATGCCACATGTGTCTGCCATGAAATAGCTCACATTGCTATAATGTTACTCATGCCAGGCACTTAAACCTTCTCCTGTGATGAATGAGAGGGGGTCTCTGCGTTCCTCAGACTGTATCACTACTTTATGAGGGTTTTCCTGTTTAAAAAGGATGGCCGAGTCTTTAAGTTGTGAATTGAGGTTGCTATGTGTTATCATTGGGAGATCCAGAGGATGCCGGTGACTAATGCCAGGACTGATATCAGTACACAGCCACGGCTTTTCAATGAGCCTCTCAATGTAGCAATGCACAGAGGATTGATTCTGTTAGGGCGATTCACAAGGGAGGAAAGAGACTGATGGTCTAGCGGAGAGTACCGCCAGTTCACTCAGGGTGACTGAAGAGAGCTGTATAAACAAGCCCTTTAGCAGCGGAGCACAAAGTGGAGCACATACAAACAGCTTGTGCCATAAAGACCAGTGTGTGTGTGTTTGTGAGACCCTGGGATACCATGTCTAACACATTCTCTTAGTGAGAAGATAAACATTGTTAAAGTTGCGCTAGGTAAAGAATGAAAAGGTGTCTATGTGCAGAGATGCAAGCCGTCACCGTGTTGATGTTTGAACAGGTTGCTCACACTCTTTCACATTGTAATTCCTGTTGTGTACACATGCAAGTATGTGGAAAACAAATACCAACAGAGACACATTACCGCTAAGTAGCAACAACATCACACAAAAACAGACATTATTTTTTGTGTCTTCAGCTGATGAACCTGCTTATTGTATCACTGTAAATCAAAGGTAAACATGCAGTACAGAGCTGTAAGGATGAGGTGCATCCTCTCTGACAGACAGAAATGTAATCTGTCACAGTGGGTTTGCAATGCAGGCGAAGTGAATTTTCACCACTTTGTACAGTTCATCTTAATTTCTGTCAACAGCTGTCAAGCACCCATGACTAAAAGTAATATCTTTAAAACAATGACAGAGAAACAAGATCTCTTACCTTCAGAGTGATCCTACAAGTGTAGACTTCCCTCTCTGTCCGAGGAGTTTGTCTGCCAGCAGTCGGTCCCCTCCTTCTGAAATCAGAGGAAAGACTTCCAGCTGGTTGTCTCTACAGGGGCTGCTGCCTCAGATGTATAGATCCCTCAGATGTTCAGAGTCTGAGGTTAATCTCCGCTGTCCCGAGAGTCCGCCGGAGGAGGTACCGCTCTGAGCCCGGCTGTTTGTTGAGTCAAATCACAGCACCACAGGGGGCTCCTCTCCTCTCTCACACTCTGGAAAAGCCTGCCCACCGCTCCTAAAGAGTGCTGTAAGTTTAAAAAGAAGTGTCCTCAATGGCGCACACACATACACACTCCCCTGACAGATTCACACAGAGGAGGGGGCCGCTGGTCCAGCCCGGCTGCAGCCAGAGTAAGAGTGAGTTGGAGAGAGAGGGAATTGTGAGTAGGAGTTTAGAAAAAAGCTTTAGAGGTAAGTTTTAAAAAAGGAGTGTAGGGGGAAAGAGAAAAAACAGAGGGGGGAAACTTCAAATACAGATTGAGTTCTGCTTGTTGTTCTTCAGTAGCAGCTCAGAGGTCCCGGCTGGAGTGATTTGTTTATGAATGGGGTGGCAGGCAACTGGAGGTGAACTGAGACGGTCTCTACTGGCAACAGAAATCTGGACCGCGTCTAACCCCTCCATAAAACAACAAACACAATCAAAAGGAAGGAGTGAGTGAGAAGCCCAAGCTGGAGAAAAAAAAGTTTTGGCAAAGCTCATGGTGGCCTGCTTTAGAAACAAACATAGAAGTCTCAGTTTCTCAGGAAAATAACATCACTTACAAAGTCCTGCTGCAAGAGTCAGGTGTAATAGAGGTTAAACACATAGGGCACATTTAACTTTGATTAACCCATTTAACCCTTACATGTATTCGTCTATCTTTTTTATTTCATGTCCTTTTCTATTTATCACACAGAAACTCAACAAAGTCCTAACCCCCTTTCTGACATTCAATACCTCTGTCTCATGCATTGGCACTGTCCCTAATTTCTTCCTTTCCCATGAGTGAAGGGCTTGAAATTCATAATGCAACCCTGCAGCTGACCAAGGCTTTTCTCTCTAACAAGGGGTGGGGGGGCAGACAGGGGGGAGGGGGGAGCACGGGCTAAATTGAACAGTAACTAGGTTCTCCTCTAATTGTGAGGGTAAATCTAAAGGCCCTGCTAGCAGTAATTAGAGAGCCGGTGAAGCCCCAGTTATTAGTTAGGAGGGAGCAACACCACGCGGGACTGTTTCACTTCAACAGCAGTCTATTCCTAACTATGTAATTAACACCTTCTTGCGATAGATCCACCAACTTTGCCCCATAAATCTACTTTTGTATGTTTAAGTACTTGCAATGTCAATTAAAATGTTTGCAAGAGATAATAATGAAGCAATAATACATGACATTAACAATTATGCAATGCAATCCTTTATCAGCTGAGAAAAGACACTATCTAAACACCCTGCAACCCTAAAAGTGACACACTGGGTTTAAATCTCTAAAGTTAATAAAATAAAGTGAAAGTCTTCTAAAGTAAGAGTAAAAAAGCCAATATGTCTAACACAGCTTTTTGTTGTTACAAAAAGTGGTGGATAAACTGAACACAAGGGGGAGTCTATGGCTTTATATTTGACCGCTTGTTTATCTATACAGCTCGCCAAAGTGCCAAATCACATGATAAACCGGACTCATTCTGCTCCAACAATGCCCGGTCTATTCATCCTATCAGAACATTTAAAGAGTGGTTTCTCTCACTGCTGATCTGGACTGTTTCCACAGCTGAAGTAGTGCGGGTGCGAGCACAGCAACAGGGGAAGGACCCAATTCCAGACAACGCAAGCAGACAGTAACAGTTTAGAGATTTATTTAAACGGGAACAAATATATGCTTACTGGCATGTCCAATCAGAAGTAGCTTTGCCTCCACAGTGGAGCGAAGGGACGGCTAAAGTTGAGGCTTGGTGAAAATGAGTGGGAAAAGGCTGCAAATATCTGCAGGGCTGATGAGGAACGTGGGAACAGGTGAGCAGGGAAGGTCAGGTGACTGTGACAGGAGAGAAAAGTCAGAGGGCATCTGGTGGACAGGAAGAGAACAGCAGTGAACGGGACTGAGAAAGTGGGATTGTGGCCGGGGAGAAGAATAGAGAGGCAGAACGTGATACAATTACCCTGTATGCTGGCCCTGTGTTTGTGTTTAGCTAAAGGTTATCTCCCTGTCTGACAGCCAGTGGCCCCTGGGAGAGGGGGAAGGGAGCTAGAAGCAGGAAACTCTGGGGCTAAGGCCTAGACCTGGAGCTGAACTCAACACATCTCTTATAGATGAAGATGGATGAAGCCATTAAAGAACTGAAAGATAATACATTGAGCCGATAAAGGTTGTAATAGTAAGAGACTTTGAAACAGGCCTACTCCATTCAGACCCAAAGAAACCTGAAACTCAGGAAACACTGGGGAGTTTCAAACTAAAACTGCAATAATCATCACCATATCAATGTTCTAAGTTAAATTAAAGAGCAAAATTCACAGCAAAGCAAAGTAGGAGCAACTCAAATCATTGCTGAAACAATATGTTCATTATTCTACAAATAACCAATTGACAAAACAACATTTTATTATTTGATAGTAGATTGATAGAAACCTTTTTCTTCTCAAAGGTGATGCTTTAGGACCTTGTTATTGTTCAGACACAATACATTTTAAGAGATTGTTTTACTATTGTTTTGATTTAGTAGGAAAAAAAATAAAGACATGTAAAAGTCCAACAAGAAAAACAATGAAAAACAAATGTTGTCCTGGTGACTTTGCGTGTGAGACGCTCACCATGTAATCCCAACATCATGGTTCGAGTCCGGCCTGGGACCTCGGTGCATGTCATTCCTCTCTCTGGATCTCATTTCCTGTCAGCTCTCTACTGAACACTGTCTAATAAAATGCACAATAAAAAACATTACTTTCAAGAGAAAAACAAAACTGTGGACTGTCAAGTTAATTTAACATGTGCTACTTTTTTCTTACTCGTATGTGTGTGGTTGCATTCAGACTATACAGACTCTGATTCAACTTCAATCACTTTCTGCAGCATTTTCCATGTTTTCTATCTCTATTTATAGGTTTAATTCAAATGTAAAACACATTCATTGACTATCAATAGTTACCTGATTTAGTCCTGCATGGTGTCACCATAGTCATTTCTTAAATGAAAGTGTTCATGCTGTTTTTATATAAATGTTTTGCTACTTTATTTAGTTGTTCAGTATATCATAATAAAGTATTCATATGCTTTTCGTGCTGCATCTAAATGACATAATTAATTCTCCACTTTTCAATGACTGTCAAAGTAAAGCAGAATCTGACTGGCATGCTGTAGCTGTTTGGCACTTAATAAGTACTGTTTGCAGGCTTTTTCTGGACTGTAAAAGGTCTTAAAGGAAGTAAGACGGTGGAAGATGAAAGCCCTGGGTGTGTCTTGGCCCCTACAGCAGCTAACTTTCTAACACATGTGAGCTTTTAGAAATGGTGAAAAGAGGCTACAAGGCTCTTATTAGTTCCCCCTCGATGATCTTGAATGTTGGGAAGACTGAAAGGAGTCATGGGGGAACACTTTGTATTCTGTACAGTTTAAACTAAATATATACACATGTAATATTCCCTACAGCAACCCCTCATTTAGAAAAATATTAAAGATTAATACAGCCTAAAAAAAGCTAATGTTTTCATTTTTTGGCAGGCAAGTGCTTTAAATAATGGGTATCTTTTTGGAGCACTAATGTTCGACAAAAATATAAGTGTCAGTTTTAGGTTCATGTACAGCCAAACAGGCCAGTGTTTACATCCACAAATGCTCTAAGTCTAATGCATGCAATAAGTGCTTAAACCACATTCTTTATTTTTAGCCAAGCTGTTATTACTGGGCGCAATGATCTATTGCATTTCCTAATAAGTGTTTGATATTGCACTTTCCCTAATGCTCAGGCCTGTAGCACTTTTCTCTCCATTAACATGCTTCATGCTAACAGCGGGAAGTTGATAATGAGTGTTCTAACCAAGTTACTGACATTAATCTTTAATGGATCTTTGGTAGACTCAGAGGCAGAAGGGCCCTATGTGTGAAATACATAGAGCATATTATTAATCTTATACATTTGGAACAGCAGGTTTGTATATTTGCAGGACTTCAGATTTCTTACCTGCCTGTATTTTGCTGCCCTCATGTGGATGTTTTAAGCAGGAATGTAGTGTAAAATAAACCTACAAAACTTCATAATATCACTTATGCCACATATTTGTTGTTGACTTTATAGTGCAAAGTATTGAGGATAGTTTTATCTTCAAAGGGAACTAATGGAAAGACAAACACCTGTTCACCTCACTGACCAACCTATAGAATAATGTCCTAAAATCATATGTAATCTCTTATGCCAATGACACATGTTCTTTGTGAGCATTAGTCCTTTAATGTGACAAAGTACAGTTATGAGGAACTTATTCTTTCCTTGAATATGTCCATGTTATGCCTCTTCCATACATTTCACAGGCAAATATTGTGCTTTTCGTCCCACTACTTAAGTCTGGCAGCAACAGTATTAGCAACAATACTTCACAGAAAATACAATTATTTAAATCTAAAGAAATATGACATGCAATTTGAAGATGTGTTTGCATGGTGTGGCAGTAAGACTCATGACCTTACATACAAGTACCATCTAATACCCTGCTGACCTTTCTAATTAATACTTTTACTTTCCTTATTGTTATTATACATACTGTATGTACTAAGGTAAGACTTTGAAACATCACATTGTAGTATCACTTTTTTGTTGTACTCATGCCACCAGTGAGCCAACTCATATCTTGATTTACAATCTGTGTGCTGGTTATCACATGATGAGCTTCACATCTACTTGCAAATGACGGCCTTATCAAAATGGTCCGCCGGGGCAGACTGGGTAAATAAGGGTCAATGCCCTCACCTCTCCAACAGGAGAACTCGCAGGTGGGTCTCAGGTAAAACGTGACGTCACAATGATACTTTTGAACTCGTAGGCAGTAAATCTATAAAGGTGTGTAGTCTTACTGCACATGTAGCCAAACCTTGGACTGAAGTGAAAACAGAGCTCCAGAGGCTGCAGGGATAAACAAGGAGGCCTAACATGCGCAGGTAGTTCGATTCGCCGAGGTCTAACGAGAGAGCCCCCCTACCTGTCGCACCAGGACACCGGCATGTACCCCAACTCGCAGTCGGCCAGACACCCGGCTCACACACTTTCTTTGAACAGTCAGTACTTTCCGCCTCCGTATGACTTCACCGGGTTTCATCACGTCCCGGGAGTCGGGGACCCGTCGACAGGTGCCTGGAGCTCCATGTACGCTCCCCGGGAAGAGTACGCGTACAGCTTCCCGGGGTCAAGCCCCAGCAGCGCGGCGCAGGCCAGCTTCTCCTCCCCGGAGCTGAGCGGCACGCCCACCCCTGCTGGAGGGGGGTCGTTCACCCCGTACAACTTCATCTCAGGACAGGACCCCTTCGGTCCCAAGAGGAGACCACATGAAACCGTTTCAGGTGAGACTTTAATACCTGATACCATGGCGCTATTAAGGCCTATTAAATGCTGTGTGATAATAGTAAACACTGTATTTGCCTATGATTAATAACCCATAAAAGATATCATCATCATCATCTTCATCTTCATAGTCATCCATGTATTAATTAATAATACAACTACAATCATAAGACATAATTGAAACATGTGAAATGGGACACCCCAACAAGCTCATAAAGTATTAACATTATATATCATTATTACTCATAGAATTGGGAGAGTGCCTTTATTATTTAGAAACATTACCACTTTAAAAACATATACTTTAAAGAATTCAATTTTTTTTAAACCAAGTTTTAAGTTGTTTGAACAAACATGTTGTGGTCTGTCTTGGATCACATCATATCTTCGTTGCCGGTACATTAATGTGACATTAAAATCCTCTAGATAAAAAAAGTTCTCAAACTTTATAAAGCATTACTTTTTATAAGATAAGATACTTGTTTCAGTTTCAAAATGATGACAAACTTAACCCCTGGAGTTGAGTGGGTGATTAGATGACAGCTATAGTAAAACGCATATTCATAGACAGGAACACATTCAACACGTAAAGTAAAGTCAGACTGACTGCACACACACATTTATCATGATTTTTTCACCTCTCCCTTCCGCCAGCATGGCTTGAGTTGTCAAAGCAAAGCTAACAGTGGCGGCCGTGAAGTCTGGAGAAATGTCCCTCCCCACCCTCTCTGTCCACTGGGTGGGTGCAGAAGAGTGACAACTTAGATAACAGGTGCACTACAGGAACTCTGCCGAAAGCAACCAAATATCCTCCACATGTGTGTGTGTGAGTCTGCCTTGATCGATGCTGTCACGTGGTCAAGATTTTCGATCAATAACTCTGACTCACCCTTTGCTTAAGAGTGTGTGTGTGCATACGTATGAATAGCTGCCTGTGTAAACACCTATGTAAACACCACTCACAGGGATAAGGAGAGCCACTGATGCAATGCAGTGGGGAGTCTTTAGTTGTAGTTAGCGTGATTAATAGAGTTGATGAGGCTTTAAGTGGCGCCTGAACTTGAACATGGCACCAGACGTCTTCAAATTAGTCATCTGTTTGGACTCAGAGTGCACGTGACTCACTGACATTATCATGTTTTACTCACCTATTTATTTACATTCACTAAGTCAATCATCCACATTGTATTTATTGTTGTACTAAATCAGGGTTGTTTTGTGTGATTCAGGAACCAAGACTCGCACTAAGGACAAGTACCGGGTGGTGTACACTGACCAGCAACGCCTGGAGCTAGAGAAGGAGTTTCAGTTCAACCGCTACATCACCATGAGGAGGAAGACCGAGCTGTCATTGACACTAGGCCTCTCTGAGAGACAGGTGAGAGAGGAGTGAGTTTTCAGCTACTTAAATATAGAGGTTTCCTGTTGTTATCTGTTTGGTATCACACTGAACTTAATATGCTTGGGTTAAGAATTACTTTTAAAGGAAGTCACTTTGGACTTTAAGAAATTGGGATGTTCATTGTCACTATTGTCTGAAACGTTATAGACTATTAATTGATTTATTTCGAAAATAATCTGCAAATGTAATCGATAATATAAATAATAGTTAGTTGCAGCCCCAGTGTAGACACACCGTCTTTCTGCAAACTCTATCGGCCGGGGAATGCTGTGAAAAAGGACTGAAAGACTTCCTTTATCCAACTAGGTCAATCTTAATGTACATATTTGATATTTGAAAATGCAGCATAAGCTAGTGTTCATACCAGACCGAACAAACTGTAGCACCAACACCCTGGATGATACTGTTCTTCTTTCAAATTATACATACTTTCAGTCTGAAGACTGGGTTGAAAACAAAAAAAAGAAACGATCACAAGTAATTCAAAGGAACTGCAAGAAAGAAGGCCTATTTTTAGACATAAAATCTAAGAAAATAAGCTTATTCTGTTGTACCCCCATGGTATGGCTATTGACATTGTTGATATTTAAGTGATTTTATCAAATGTGTTTCCGATAAAAACAGCTACTCTTACAGTACATTTGGTCCATGTTTTTGCCTGGTGGTGTATCGTTTTTATTGCCATACATCCTTTAACAATCCCATTTGTAGACACCAGCTTTAGAATAAACATCTTTAAACCATAATGTTATGTGGTCGAACAAAACATCTGATGCAAATAGTGTTAATGTCCTTTATCTTGTCAAACCACTGTTGAGTGCAACAAAGTAATTCTAGGAAAGAAGGAAATTACTAAACTTGCTTTGCTCATTAACAGACATTAGTCTCCTTTTCATTGTCTTTGGATCAGCTCCAGACTTTAACAACACAAGTTTGAAACTTCTGGCTTTAAGAGAGAGTAGGTCATCTTCTCATATATTGAATGAACTTTTCTAGTTGGTTCAAATAATATATTGGATTTATTAGTTTAGGTGATGTTTCCAGAAGTATAGAAAAATACAAACAAAAAGCTAAATCCAGTGCAAGTGGTCAAAGACAACACAGTCGATAACAGCTAAAGACAGAAAATACAAGTCAAAGAAAGAACAAATCCTATTCCTAATCGATATGTTTTTGATCCTGAAATCCTAGGTGAAGATTTGGTTTCAGAATAGACGTGCCAAAGAGAGGAAGATAAACCGTAAGAAGCTGCAGAACTCTCAGCAGGCCTCCACAACCACCCCGACCCCGCCTGCTCAGGGTGGGCCCGCTGACTCCCACATCCCCACCAGCCCCAGCAGCAACATTTTGTCTGACACTATATCAGAGGAATACTAGGTGGATTGAATATGAAAGACTGATTCAGCATGAAATATGTACATAGCGTTGTTATGTTTTATAATGTTACCACAGATTGAATGGCGATGATTCGCATCAACAGGATGTCATAATGCTGCACCTCATGCCTTTTACAATGACAAGCACTACATGTCTGTTGCACTGATCGTTTTTAGTGGGCTTCTCAAACCACTAGTCTTTAGCGTGTTAATATCATTTTTAGAACCACAATACTCAATTTAGGACAAGAGTCACTGAATATCCTTTCACCTGGGAAACGTGCAAACCATCTTTAAGAAAGGTTTTTTGGTTGATAAGTGACAATGCACTTATGGTCAAGTATCTGCTTCATGAGTAAGACAATAAGTGGAATGCTAAATCTGTTTAATTTGACTTCATTTAAGGAATTATGTCTCAAAATCTCTCTAGAGCGTTACAATTATAATGTGGCTTTTGACCAAATAAAAAGGGAATTACAATGATGCTTAATTTCTCTTCATTAGTTTGAATGAGCACAGAATGGAAAACAATGTGAAAGACGGGTAAACGTAAACGTGTGATGCCAATTTTCAACATCCCTTTAATGTTTCTGTTGAATTATTTATGCCAGATTTAACATGGGAATAGATCATTACAATTATAAACAAATGGGTTACATTAAGGGATGAGAAAGCAGCTGTATATGATGTAATGGAAAGGGTTGATGCACAGAAACATTAAGAAATGTTCCGTCAAACAAGTGTATGATGAAATGCAGTTAAAACCTTTTTACTTTGTACTTGAAACGTCTTTTTTTTGTTAGCAACAAGACTGTGATAACATCAAAAAGAAACTGACAGCAACTTGTTTAAAAATAGGCTGTTGAATAATTTGTTTGCCACATCCTGAAAAACAGCTTCCACATGCGTCATCATGCTCTATTGACATTGTTTTGTCAGAGTATTTTAATTATAAAAGTCACTGCTTATCTAGTCTTTTGGGACCTACAGTATGTATGTATGCGATGTTAAAGTATGAACTACATTTACACGTTAGCTAAATGAACACACGTTTAGATTTGTTTGTGTTTGTTAGATTGTCACTTAAAAAAAGAGGAAGTTAACACATGTAGCATGCAATCTCTAGCCACAGATGGCTAGAGATTGCAAAAACAGTCGTTTCAAACCAACTTTGTGCAACTCACCGTGTATTTATACAATCATCGTGGGCAGCGTCTTCTATTTCAGGAAATCACAATAGTGTCTTTGTATGTTCAAAAGTTAAGCCACGTCATGCCGAGTGCATATGTTTTTTCCGTTCTTTAGCATTGATCTGTGTGTCCATTTGCTTTTTACTGCACAACTATCTGACACAGTCACACACAGAAAATCTTCATGATGAGTTTTTACAGCTAATGAGGAAGTGTAACCTTTGTGAAAAGCTGTACCTGCCTACAACATGACTCAAAAATATTAAATTCATGGAATTACATGACGAGATGAACTGCATTTTGTACCATAATTGTTTATTGAAACATGCAATAATACAGGCTGTATTACAGGACGATCTTTTCCAAGAAACCTATATATCTCCAAACATCAATTTCTTTAATGAGCACTCTTCAACAGTAACTATCTGTATGTACACATACCCAGTAAGTATCTAACATCAATCATTTTGAATCACATGATTCTTTCTCTGTACAAATAGGTAATACATTATTTTAATATGAAGTTATAAGTCAGCTTCAGGACATCTTCAATCAAAAGCTGACTTACCCACGATTAAACATTTGGCACCAACCACCAGTCTTGGTTTTGTAGTTACTGTAAATATATTTGGCATGCCAGGGTCACATGAATGGACATCAACCATATCACATGGTTTTTATGAGGGAAAAATAAAAATGTCATAGTGGTTCAACCAAATGTTATCCATCGTTTGGTTGCGATGCGGCCTAATCTTTATTTGAACTATGTTATTTACATATTAAAAGCATTACAGGTGCAACAATACTTACTGACATCGATACATGTTGGTATCTGTTCAATCATTGTATTGAACAAAGTCTTTCTGGCTGACAAACAGGACTGGATTGTTGGAGCCGTTTTATAACACTTCTTGTATGTTGTCAATTATTTGCTCAGAAGATTATGCCAGTCAGAAGTTCAACTGTGTTTCAACAAGAGGGTTACACAAAAAGAATCATCTCAGGGTTGTTTAAGGACGCTATCATGAACCATAAACACCAATTTTATGGCTCTATGGATCAGCTCTATGGTAGTGCCTGGTTGTTAACCTTTAACCTCAGGCTATCAAACCAAACCAAACCTGTAAACTCTCTCTTTGAAAAGAAAATATCTCCTACATTAACATAGGAAAACATAGTTGATTATAGCCCTACTTATGCTATAAGAGCATAAGTAGGGCTTGAAGAAGGAGAAGCCTAACGCATGAGACTCAACTAGCTGAAGCCTTCCAATATTGAAATATTGATTCTGCCCTTTTTACTGTTTTTGGTTACATCTTGTGCAGTCGAGCACGCCCTCCGTTAGGTTGAAGCTGCCGAATGGTTAACTTGAGGCAGGGGAAGTTTTCAGAGAATCTGGCATTTGATGTGTTTATTGTTGTTTGTTGTCTCAGATGTTATTAGTTCTTGAAGAAAAATGGATGCATTGGGTCAGAGCCAATATACATGTAAAATGTCTGAGGCATTCTTGTCTGCGTAAGTGTAACTGAGACATTTAGATCGGTTGAAATCAAATATTGGGTTGTTTTATGTGATTAAAGCAACCTTTGAAGAGTCAATGTTAGCTTACGTTAATATTCTACAGGCTCAGACTTTTACAGTACTGTTTTACTGTGCTGTCATGGCACAGAAATGAATTGAATGATCGAATAAAATGTGACAGTTGACTCGGGCGGCTGTGGCTCAGTGGATAGAGTGCTGGACTTCGAATCAGGGGGTAGCTAGTTCGAGTCCCACTGCAGTCAGCATGTCGTTGTGTCCCTGTGCAAGACACTACACCCCAAATTACTCCTGTGGCGATTGTCAACAGTATTGATTGTATGTAAGTCGCTTTAGATAAAAGCGTCTAACAAATGACATGTAATGTAATAATTCAAATGACAGATCAGTGGCGTTGTTCTTAACTGACTTAATTTTAAACATTTGTTCTCCTCGTCTATTAAAATGAAGAGCCCTTAGTAAGTAAAATGTGTCTGTTGAATATTATCACAAAGCTACCGCAGATGAATAACATTGATAAATACATCGTTATTTGTATGTTGCGTTCTGCGCTGAAAGCCACAGAGAAAAAGGAAACACTTGATGTAGAAATAAGCTGTTGGTGTTAAAAGATAACACTGCGCATACTAAGAGTCTCGGAGGTTGTTCAGTTTCTTATCAACCCTTACTTTGTTCTTGTAAAAGTAAGAGTGCAACATCCTATTTTAAAAGGTTCGACATCTTACAGTATCAAGAAACACTGAACAACACACACACACTCTAGTTACAGGCATTTCTGAGGCAAGTTATTAAACTGTATGCCATCTACATCGAATAAATTACAAACAAGAACAATTCCCCAATTTTACTGCACATAAGAGTAAGCAGCACTACAGTACACAACTGACACTTTCATTTCACTGTTAGGCTGTTTCACCATGATGCAACATGGGTAATACCTCACAGCCAATTTTGTCGGACTGACCATGCATCATCTGAGAAAAAAGCAGAAGAGCTTACAAGGAAACTAATATGTGGTTGCTTCAGACTGCCGTGACATTTCTCTGCAAACTTATCTCATTACAAGCGAGCCAAAGGAAGATAACACCGTCACATTTAGAGATAGCTCCCCCAATGCACCTAACCTACACTACCAACACAAGCATGCTCAGCTTTTCTATGAAACAGTTACTACATATACCTGGCAAGGTTTCAAAAATGAACACACAGCTCGATAAGATGTAATGTAATTATTTATTGATGACAAATGTTCTTTCTTCCTTCGAGAAAGACAGTTTTTCAGCAAAAATGAGCAATCATTGCCATAATTTGTGCAAATGAGGAAGTGGTTATTCAGAGCAGTGTGCTTTTCTGCCACTTATTGCAGGGTTAACTAAGTGCATTGTAAAGGCAAAATTATATTAGCATTATTTTAAATTTACAGTGGCTCAACAATGTATTAAAAAAGTGAACATCCTCATGAATTAGAAACAAGCATAAACATAACGCAAAGATGATTGTAATGTTATCTAAATTATAAATTAAAATGCTTTTGAAATCAAACAAGGAATTTTAAATAAACCACAAAAGCATAACAATAATAATAATATCTATGAATGAAAATAAAAATTGTATTTACATTAAAAGAACCCGCATCCTATTAATGTATTTCAACTTTAAACAGGCTTCTGGCGGAGGTCCCTACTAGACTGTACAAGAGAAACACATCACAGCAAAATGTTGACCTGTATCTTGTCAAAACATCGTTAGGTGTATAATTTATTTATTCTTAAGAAATAAAGGAATATCATTATTAATATTATAAGTATTATTATTGCAGGATTTTTTTTTTTTTAATACAATAGAAACAGAAATCAATGATATGAAGCGATAGGGAGCAAATAGATTTACAGAGTCAAAGTACATGAAAAAGTGTAACTGTGCTCTGCTGTGACCCTGTTGCCGTTCTGATGACAGGACGAGGAGGATCTGGACAAAGAGACCCTTCACCTGCCTTTAACGGTGCAGTCTTTGTCAAATGACTGAACTCTGGGAATCACCTGCCTCTTCGCACCTTGGCGTACACACATTCCTCTCCTGCCGGATCAGCAGTCGGCCGAGGTCGCTCTGAGAACTTGACCTGGCCGTACTCCACCTCCGGCTCGGCCCTCTGCTGGACCTGCCGCCCCGACCGCTGCTTGATCTTGACAACAGCATAGGTCAACTCCTGTTCATCTTCATCTGCAGAGTGAATACATAAACAACACAATCATGTTAAAGGTCACCTATTATGCAGAATCCACTTGTTCATGTCTTTTATTCATAAACATGTTTCCCCTCTGTGTAAAGAGACTCTGAAAGCTTCAGGAAAAAAGATTCTCTCTCTTTTTATATAAAAACCTGTCTGATCAGATGTTTGCCACTTTATCATGTCATAACGATGTTTTGGCTTGTGTAACCATTAGCCAATAACCAACCAAGGTAACACCCGCCCACCTTATCACCTGGGCGTGGGGAGTGGCTCCTTATTTTCATCTAAAGTAACAGACAGAGAATCAGCACTTTTGAAACAGGGCTGAAACAGAGGGGTTTATGGGATGCTACAATGATCAGTTTGGTATTTGGAGCCAAACACTTATAATATATTGATGAAAAACAGTATAATGGGGACCTTTAAACTAAGTGTTGCAATGGTGGAAAGTAGTTTACCTAAGTATCAATTTGAGTTTTTTTTTCTCCATATCGCTTTCTGCTTATACCTCACTACAATAGCAATATGCTCCATGGCTAACAACAGTAAGTTCCTGCTGTGAAATAAATGCATGAGTAATGTTACGACCCCTCCCTCTCTGCTCAGTGTGTCTGCTGCTCTCTGGTCGTTAATCAACAGTGGGGACACCTGTCTATAAAGTCAGTAGGGGCTCGGACTGGGAGCCGTAGGGTCGCCGGTTCAGGTCCCCGAACAGACTTCAAATATGGAGTGTGGACTGGTACTTGGAGAGGTCCCAGTTCACCTCCTGGGCTCTGCCGCGGTGCCCTTGAGCAAGGCACCGGACCCCCCACTCCCCATTGCTCCCCGGGCGCTGTACAATAGCTGCCCACTGCTCCCAGTACTAGGATGGGTAAAAAAGACCACATTTCACTGTGTGTGCTGTGTAGCTACATGTATGTGTGACCAATAAAGAGGGTTTCATCCTCCAATTCTATGTATCTATTCTATCTATTGTCTCTCTGTTCCATGAGCCATCCAGGCCAAGTTTGGTTTTTACCTCGCCCGCTACACACACTTTACACTCACCCTTACATGTTGTCACTTTAAAGGGGACCTATCATGCAAAATGCACTTTAGTACGTCTTTTATACATGAATATGTGTCCCCGGTGTTCCAGGGAACTCACTAAGTGTCAGAAAACACAACCCTCTCTATTTTCCTCCATACCCAAATCTCTAAAAAAGGGGCTGCAACGGATCTGATACAGACTGATCCAGATTTGAACACTTCTATGACGTCACAGAAGTGGCGCTACGGCTATTGGGCCAACTCTCCACCTATCAGGGGAATGTGGGGTTGGGCCACGGCCGGCCATTGCTGCTCGAAAGCGCTGGAGACGCTGTAGTACATATGCCAGGCCTGTAAGTGGCGCTGTAGTCTGCCACAAAAGCAGCGAAGAAGACTTCCCGCGCATATGGTAACCATGGTTACCCTTCTGTTTATTCTCCGCTGTGGCTTTTTTTCTCCCTCCCCGAGGCAAGCGTTTGCTCCCGCTGCTTTAATTCAATGCAATCCCTCCCCGTCGAGGCAAGCACTGTCATTCTCTCCGGTTAGTCCACCAGCAGATGACAAACACCCACCTCTCCGCCTCTTCCAAGGAACGAGGGGACCGTGCGGCAGAGTTTCAGTTTCAGTTTCTTTCGCCGGTCAAGATGTCCGTTAAAGTTTAAATCTTCCGGACAAAATTAGAAAAGTGCCGGTCAAAGGTCTTCTTTGTTATTTATTGAGCTTTAAAACAAATGAATAACGACTCTATAGGCCTATAATAATATAATAAAACCATAGACTGTATATATAAATAAAACACGGAGGACGGAGATCTTTTTTCTCCCCTTCAGAGTACGTCTCCCCTCTCCTGCAGGGGGGCGTGGTCTCACAGAATCAGCCCCGTAGACAGCAAACAGCACATAGAGCGAAATGAGGCATGGCTAAAATGCATGATCTGTTTGGTATTTTGAAAACAGAAACGTAGAAATATACCTTATATAGGTATGGCCCTACAATATATCATTTAAATATAGCATGATAGGTCCACTTTAATAAATGCAGGGCTAACCACTTGTGTCCCCTCTTGTTGCACTCCTTGAGCCGGTTTGTGACAGTAATATTGATGTTATGGTATAATAGTATGTCAGTCACAGGGGACATGTTTCTGCATTGAGTACTTTTACCTTTTAATACTTTAAGTAAAGTTTCCTGATTATACTTACGTCGGTTCACTAAAGTAAAGGATGTAATACTTCCAACACTACAGGGTGTTTGTACAGTTGGTTGTTAAAAAGATTGTTTATTTTTTGTTATTTACCTACCAATATGTGTATGTTTTTCTCGTCAAGTTTCCAAAGTGGTCTCAATCTTATTATCTTATTCTCGGGCAAGAAACAAATTACTTGTATTGCCAAAAATGTCAAACTGTTTGTTGCATCTGTAAATACAGAAATAAACTGTGAATGCAGCGATGTGTAAGAAAAAAGGAAGTTGTGTTCTGTACCTGTAGGCTGGTTGCTTGGTTTTTTTCTCTGAGCACAGACGACAGCCACCCCGACCACCAACAGAAGAACCAGTGCAGAGAGCACACCGGCCATTATTTGCCACCAGTAAGCTGTTTCAATAACGAGACACAAGATATTTAAATATCAGGCAATCACTACAGGTGTTTTATGGAGACACACAAACAAAAAAGGGGGGAATTACTTTAATAATCCATTGCTGCAGTGTTAGTTGTCACTTACTAATGTACCATGGGTCATCTTCAGAGAGGGGGGGGGGTCACAGTTTGATTCCAGGATGTGATGTTAGTGCGGGGGTTAATTGACACTGTACTCTCCTTACCCGCAGTGGAGGATTCTGAGATGGTGGTGATAGGAGATGTTGTTGTATGTTCAATGCACAGCGTATTGTTGGCTGCAAACACCCACTGTGATATCTGTGTCCCATTTGAGGAGCAGTTAATGAATACTGTGGGAAAGAATCAGATACATGACTGATATGCAGTTAATCATCCATGTCTTATTCATCAAACTGTTTTCCACTCATCTTCTCACCACAGTTAGAGAAATGCTCTCCTTTAGAGACCTCACTGACGTTATTCTCGACGGAGCAGGCCACTGCTCCTGAGACGTGTTGTCTCAGAGTGATGCTGTTATTCTCAGTATTTACAGAGAGGAGCTCAGTGTCTGTCAGTGAGCGTCTATCCAGAGTCCAGCTGTACTGAGGACTGTCCCCTCCCTCAGAGGAGCAGGAGACCCTCTTCTCTCCCTGGGACAGACACTCAGAGGCCAGCCGGACAGAGGACACAGGAGCTGAAGGAAACACACTCTGGTGACTTTTCATATTCACACCATCTAAGTCTTTTTTTACAGTTTTTAGTACAAAACAGACAGATATATGTAGAGTTTAGAAATACAAACTTCTTATGTGTGTCTATCCATTTGACTAAATCCCCCAGTAGATACAACAATATATTTACCTTGAATGGTCAGTCGTAGAGCGCGATTCTCTTTGATACTTTTGTTGTCACGGATTTCAAAAGGATATTCACCACTGTCAGTCCTGCTGAGGTTGTTCACCCTAAATGTTCCCTCACTGAGATTAAATGATGATCTGCTTTTTATCGCATTATAAAAAATGTTATTGTTTATCACAGTAAGTATTATTGTTGTTTTGTTTGACGATTTGTACAATTTGTATCTATGTGTTTGTACAGCCCTGTCGATCAGCTGGAGGACCACAGTTCCTCCCAAAGGACCGAAACACTGAGCTCCATCCTGTCTGCCGTCACAGTGGGTTTCCAGACCTGGAATGTTTGAAAACATTTTGAATGTAAATTATTTTAATATAAACAACCATGGAAATATCAATTGATGTATATTATGCAAACAGTCGGTTATTGTTGTAAGTGAATTACACTGGCCAATGACTGCAAAACAGGTTCAATTGACATAACCACACCCAGTCAGTACGTAACCTTCTGCTGTGCCACAGAGGTTTGTTTATAAATGATAGCAAAATAAACAAGTTTACTATGTGTTAGGCAAAAATGTGTCAAATGATGCAAAAGATATTGAGATCAATTCAACTCTAAGTGATTGGTGTATTCTGATATAACTGCAATAACCATACAGTGTCTGATTTTAAACTTAAGAGGAAATTCAGGTAAATTATATTAAGGATCAAACAGATTAAATATCTGAACTGTCAGAGGTGAAGCTCTGAATTCTGAGTATGTGGAAATAAAGTTGAATATATTCAGTTGAAGTAGATCAATATACTCTTTTGATTGAATTGTCACTGAACTTACACCACAATGACGTGGAAAGGATCTCGGAAATAACTTGATTTCTTTTAAGCTACTGAACCTAAGAAAAGCCCAAATATCAGTTTGACATTGCTGTAGTGAATCAGTTTATCAATAAAGGGGTAGTTTCTTCAAAACCAAGTAAGAAGCCTCTATCCTTCAGTATTTGAACTGCACTACACATCACTGAGGATGTCAATGACTTTACTGGAAACCAATATCTGAGCACAAAGGGCTGTGAAACATTTCATTCACATAATATTAAAGCTATATATATATATCAGTGTTTAAAGTCAAACAGCTCACCGTGAGAGACTCCGAGTATGAACACCAGCAGTCCAACCACAGCCTTCATGTCTCCTCAGTGTTCAGTCAGCAACTTTCAGACTAACTTCTACTTTCCACCAACACCGTACACTGAACAGCCCGAGATATATCCTGTTAGTGATCAGCCTCAGAGGATAATTACTGTAAACTTTCAGCAGAGCGTTGGTATATTCATCTTTTTTTGGATCGAAAGAAAAGGAAGTGATATCTGTGTCACTTCCCCTTTTGGCCTCCACCAAGATGGCCTCTGTGTGTGATGGACTGAGAGGAACAGAGGGAAACATTCCTCCTTTTAAACGGAAAGAGGGTTTGAGACTAACAGCTGTCCTTTTTTTGTTTTCCATGTAGCAATATTGACAACGAAATGAAACTGTTAAATGTCGTTTCCACATCTTACCGAATTAGCAAACTGCCTCTCACTCACCTGCAGATCATTGTTATTAAACCATTTTAAACAAACATTAAAACTATCTGCACACCAAACTGTATTTTAAATTCTGATTCAAACAGTAAAATGAATACTTGAATAATTCACAAATAATGACAGTGATCCTAATATCATTTTACAGGGGTATACATACTTACATACTGTAACAGCATTGTGCAGATTCACACTATTGGTCAACTAATGTTTGCAGCATAAATAATATTGAATATATTAGTTGCAATACTTTATCCATAACACCACCTAAACAATTCTGAGGCTTTTTTCCTCTGACAAAATCAACATGCAGTTAAAGGATTATTAGTTTGTCTTCTGTCAGAGTTTTTTTTGTATAACTAAGGCAATAATGCGCCCTACTTCTCAGACCCCTGACTGAACAGAACAATACTTTGCCATCAAACTAGAATTTCAGTATCACAACCGTTCAACATACAGTAGGCTCTTTATTTGTACTTAGTTTTTATAGAAACTAGTTTAATTGTGGTTAGCCTAATAATGGTCTTCACAGTTTCCTGCTGAATATGAAAGGAAGTCATTTTGGTCAAATGTAAAGCTCAAAACTGTTCTGATATATTGGTTGATGCAAGTGTTAGTTAGGGTGGTGGCTGTTGTGTAATTCATTACATGGAAAAGGGAAGTAGATGATTCAACTTTCAGTTATTTCACTTCTCTCTCTCTTTAGACTCTGTCGCCCTCTATTGATAAAAGGAACATGCCCTAAACTATTTATACATATGACATTGCTCTTGTAGTAATACACATATATGTTTATATTTGAACCTCATAATGCAGACTGGTAGTAGTAGCCTATTAAGGCAGTAACACCATATGGTTATTTGTTATTGATCATAATTTCTACCTGAAATGTTAACATGTTGGGAACAGAGATTTTACAGAATAATCCATGCACAGCAGTAACGCCTCTGTTAGGCAGTAGGGGGAAACCTCACACCGACTGATACTGATAATGAGTCTGGAGGTTTTTTCAATGAATAATTAAAGGTAGAGTCTGTGATGAAAATGAAAACAACAAAATGGAAGTTTACCTTGTTTGAATAATGTTTACATCTAGATTACCTTTAGTAAGAATACATAATGTTTGTTGAATTAGAGAACACACAGTGATGCAAATAAGCACAAAACATGTACAGACCTTTATTAACCTTACTTACTTTTATTATCATGAAAGCAATATTTAACTTCATAAAGTACCACAACTGGATTGGATATATAACAACACTAAAAAGATTTTCCATAAGAACGTATTGCAAGCAAACGAGCAAAAGGATACCTATGACATTTTAATCACATGAGAAAAACAACAAACTATCATGCACATGATTCAATCTGAGTTCAATACTAAAATGATATAAATGATCATGATTGCAATTTACAAAGAGTGAAAAAATGCAGGCACCTCAACTTGTACTTGAACTGTGATACAAATGCAAAACAACACTAACAGACCTCAAATAATAACAACTCATGCTGTGCTGCTAAACTGTGAACACATTTGCCAGAAGTAATTTTAGAATAAAAACAGCAAATTACTTCCACTCCCTTTCTTCACATGCACAAAGATGATGAGAGACGACCTGAGTTGAACTTCAGATGCCTTACATCTCAACCATCACAACAGACTCATCTTGATGTTCCCTCTCTGGACGGTAAGCAGAACCTTCAGCCTTCTTGTATTTATTTTTCTTCCAAGCAAAATAGACAGCAATCCCGATTAATGCAAAAACCACCACAGCTGCCCGCACACCACATACGAGCAGGGAGTGATCAGCTGGGATAAAGAGACACAAAAACAACATGTCAAGTTAGTTCTGTGACAGGAGAGTTCATGATTACTATTCAAGAACCGTCTCTGCTGGAGGAAGAACTGCTTATTGGAGGGTTTTATTGACACATTGATATCACTCTCCAACCTACAGTGGAAGCCTTAGCATGTGTTTGTGGTAGGAGCTGTAATAAGACTCATTATTACTTATGGAGACACACTTTATGGAGACACACAAACAAAAAAGGGTTGAATTACTTTAATAATTCATTGCTGCAGTGTTAGTTGTCACTTACTAATGTACCATGGGTCATCTTCAGAGAGGGGGGTCACAGTTTGATTCCAGGATGTGATGTTAGTGCAGGGGTTAATTGACACTGTACTCTCCTTACCCCCAGTGGAGGATTCTGAGATGGTGGTAGGGGGTGTTGTTGGTTCAACACACAGCGTATTGTTGGCTCCAAACACCCACTGTGATATCTGTCTCCCATTTGAGGTGCAGTTAATGAATATGTAGCCTGTGGGAAATTATCAGATAAATGACTGATGTGCAGTTAATCATGTCTTATTCATCAAAATGCAGTGCACTCATCTTCTCACCACAGTTAGAGATCTCCTCTCCTTTAGAGACCTGGCTGACGTTATTCCTGACGGAGCAGGCCACTGCTCCAGAGACGTGTTGTTTCAGAGTGATGCTGTTAGTCTCAGTATTTACAGAGAGGAGCTCAGTGTCTGTCAGTGAGCGTCCATCCAGAGTCCAGCTGTACTGAAGACTGTCCCCTCCCCCAGAGGAGCAGGAGACCCTCTTCTCTCCCTGGGACAGACACTCAGAGGCCAGCCGGACAGAGGACACAGGAGCTGAAGGAAACACACTCTGATGACTTTTCATATTCACACCATCTAAGTCTTTTTTTGCAGCTGTTAGTACAGAACAGACAGATATATGTAGATTTCAGAAATACAAACTTTGTATGTGTGTCTATCCATTTGACTTCCCAGTAGATACAACAATATATTTACCTTGAATGGTCAGTCGTAGAGCACGATTCTCTTTGATATTTATGCCGCCACTGATTTCAAAATGATATTCAGCACTGTCAGTCCTGCTGAGGTTGTTCACCCTAAATGTTCCATCACCGAGATTAAATGAGGATCTGCTTTTTATGGCATTATTAAAAATCATATTGTTTATCACTACAAAACCTTTTCAATTAACTACTTTAGCCATCTACTTTCTTGTGGTCATTAAATGATTTTATTTATTTAACTTTCAGTCAAAGTACTAATTATGTTAGTGAAGAAGTAGATGATTCTCTCTCTCACTCTTTAGACTAAGTCACCCTCTATTGGCAACTATTGATATAAGGCAAATGCCCTGAACTGAGAAACTATCTAAAGACTTATGACATTGCACTTGTAATAATACACATATATGTTTATATTTTAACCTCATTATGCAGACTGGTTAAGAGTAGCCTATTAAGACAGTAACACCATATGGTTATATTTTATTGATCATAATTTTTTCCTGAAATGTTAACATGTTGGGAACAGAGATTTTACAGAATAATCCACGAACAGCACTAACACCTCTGTTAGTCAGTAGGGGGAAACCTAGAGTCTGTGATGAAAATGAAAACAACAAAATGGAAGTTTACCTAAATTGATTAATGTTAACATTGTGGAGCCGAAACATCTGATTACCTTAATTACTACCTAATCAGAAACATCTGATTACCTCCGTGGGACTTCTATTTTCACAATGTTTGTTGAAATAGAAGTCCCACAGTGATGCAAAACCACTTACAGACCTTTATTAACCTTACTTACTTACTTTATTTTCACATGAAAGCAATATTAAACTTTATAAAATATCACCACTACATTGGATATATAACAACACTAAAAAGGAAAAAGACTTTACATTAGAACGTATTGCAAACAAGCAAGCAACAAATATAATCACATGAGAAAAACAACAAACTATTATGCACATGATTCAATCTGAGTTCAATACTAAAATGATATAAATGAACATGATTCAAAAAGAGTGAAACAATTCAGGCATCTCGACTTGTGATCACATTAACTGTAGGCACAATTCATTACCTTTGTTCTGTGAGAGTGATACAAATGCAAAACAACACTAACAGACCTCAGATAATAACAACTCATGCTGAGCTGCTAAACTGTGAACACATTTAAGTAATTTTAGAATAAAAACAGAAGATTATTTCCACTCCCTATCTTCACATGCTTAAAGACGATGAGAGACGACCTGAGTTGAACTTCAGATGCCTTACATCTCAACCATCACAACAGACTCATCTTGATGTTCCCTCTCTGGACGGTAAGCAGAACCTTCAGCCTTCTTGTAGTCCTTGTTCTTCCAAGCAAAATAGACGGCAATCCCGATTAATGCAAAAACCACCACAGCTGCCCGCACACCACATACGAGCAGGGAGTGATCAGCTGGATAAAGAGACACAAAAACAACATGTCAAGTTAGTTCTGTGACAGGAGAGTTCATGATTACTATTTAAGAACCGTCTCTGCTGGAGGAAGAAACTGCTTATTGGAGGGTTTTATGGACACATTTATAACACTCTCCAACCCACAGTGGAAGCCTTAGCATGTGTTTGTGGTAGGAGCTGTAATAAGACTCATTGTTGCAATATAGCAATAATTACAGATGGTTTTATGGAGATAGATGAGAAAAAAGGAGAAGAACATTTAATGTTTCCACTACAGAAGAGTGAGTTGCCACTTATGATCTGTGGGTCCTTTCCAGGGAGGGGGGTTACATTTTGATTGCAGGGTGGGATATTCAATCCAATCCAATCCACTTTATTTCTATAGCACATATTAAAAACAGAGGGTTTACCAAAGTGCTTCACAGCAAACATAACATTATAATCAAATATAATATTACAATAACAGATAAAAGGCACACATAATATGAATTGACACTTTGTTGTCAGTCTCCTTACCCACAGTGGAGCATTCTGAGATGGTGGTAGGAGGTGTTGTTTGTTCAACACACAGCGTATTGTTGGCTGCAAACACCCACTGTGATATCTGTGTCCCATTTGAGGAGCAGTTAATGAATACTGTGGGAAATAATCAGATAAATGACTGATGTGCAGTTAATCATCCATGTCTTATTCATCAGAATGCTTTCCACTTATCTTCTCACCACAGTTAGAGATCTCCTCTTCTTTAGAGACCTGACTGACGTTATTCTCGACGGAGCAGGCCACTGCTCCAGAGACGTGTTGTTTCAGAGTGATGCTGTTATTCTCAGTATTTACAGAGAGGAGCTCAGTGTCTGTCAGTGAGCGTCCATCCAGAGTCCAGCTGTACTGAAGACTGTCCCCTCCCTCAGAGGAGCAGGATACCCTCTTCTCTCCCTGGGACAGACACTCAGAGGCCAGCCGGACAGAGGACACAGGAGCTGAAGGAAACACACTCTGGTGACTTTTCATATTCACACCATCTAAGTCTTTTTTTGCAGCTTTTAGTACAGAACAGACAGATATATGTAGATTTTATATATACAAACGTTGTATGTGTGTCTATCCATTTGACTAAATCCCCCAGTAGATAAAAAAATGTATTTACCTTGAATGGTCAGTCGTAGAGCGCGTTTCTCTTTGATATTTATGCCGTCACTGATTTCAAATTTATATTCAGCACTGTCATTCCTGCTGAGGTTGTTCACCCTAAATTTTCCATCACTTGGATTAAATAAGGATCTGATTTGTTTATTGTTTATCACATTAAGTATTAGTGTTGTTTTGTTTGACAATTTGTACATTTTGTATCTTTCTGTTTCTAAGCCCCTGTCAATCAGCTGGACGACCACAGTTCCTCCCAAAGGACCGAAACACTGAGCTCCATCCTGTCTGCCGTCACAGTAGGTTTCCAGACCTAGAAATAAAAATATATATATTTTTAAAGTTGACAAAAAAAAAAAGTAAGCTTTGCATTTCTACAAAAGTGTTTACTTTTGTTATGTAAATACTGATCTTCAGCAAAAAAAAAAAGTATTTCACTGGTTTCCAGACAAAGGTTTGTGAAACTGGAACTGATACAGTTCTAACCAAAATAACTTCAGTTTTAAATTATTGGGAAGTTACCACAGTTTTAAAAATCAACACATTTCTTTTCACTGTGTTTTTGGCAATGTGTATGAACTGATGGAAAAGAGCCCTCAAAACCAGATGTCCAAATGTTTCCTGTGCATGTAAGCATTCTGTAGCTGCAATCAAGTACCAGTTCCTCCTTGTCAGTTGTTGAATTAATTGTATTTCTGGTGTAACAGCTTATTGTAATTTTGATTAAAATTATGATTTAGAATGTTTCATGTCTTGAATGAATTTGGGCCCAGGGTGGTTGAAGAGTTAAGGACTGAATATTGGTACCTACACAAATCTTCATTAATCATCAGAAATGTGCGTATAATGTGCGTCAATTCAGCAAAATGATATCTCAAACCAAATCTCCTATCACAATATTGATGTAATACCAATATATTGCTCAGCTTTAATGTAAAAGAAAATGTTATTTAATCCAGTTATAAATTAAAGATCTGACCGTAAGAGGCTCCGAGCATCATCACCAACAGTCCGATCACAGCCTGCATGTCTCCTCAGTGTTCAGCCTCTGGGGACCCAGTCTGCAGCTCACACTCAACTCTAAACTGTATACTACAGCAAACGTGCACATACTACACGGAGCAACCTGACATGTCTTCTGTTAGTGATCAGATTTAGATTAATTTATGTTGAGAACATTCTACCGTTATAGCCTAAAATAAATACCAGAAGTAAGGTAATGGTTTCTGTAATTCTGGGAGATAATAAAAGATTGTACGCTAAACAATACCATGGCAGGAAATGGTGTCATTGCTCTAAAGGAAGTGAAATAAAGTGTCACACGAAACACTGACCACTAAGATCTGCACTTTGGTTCTATTATTTGTGTCTGTTATGTTCTGCCTTTTCCTCAACATTTGAGAGAGAATATAAATAAGTTATGATTGAAACAGTACCACAGGGTGTACATACAGAGTGTAACATCTCAATAATGAATAAGAAATGAGAGAACATTACAATCCTTGACATAAAGTTTTACTGTGACAATAACTTTCAACTTTCTCACACTATTTCTATATCCAAAGAAAAAATGGTGTACTTATGTATCAGAAAACAACTAATAAGTCCCTCTAACTGAAACAACGGGTCCTTAGACAAGACATAGAGTGAGAGAAACCATACTCGGCCTGTAGATGTCGTCACAACATGATTCAACTAATACCTGTGGGGGAAACTTCTGAAGCAATTGGAGTCACGACTCAGAGAGACACGAGGAGAGCTGGAGCTTTGATGTCAAACACTGATGGTTTATTTGGAGCTTCGGCCGGAGAATTCACAAGCCACGGTTTGACCACACGGTTGAGATGCCACAATCAATTCTGAAGAACCCTCCTGCAGTTCCAGGGTTTTAACTAGTTCAGAGTGTAATAATCAACATTCTTCAATAGATAGACTAAACAGCTGAGGATACTGACTCACATTTGTTGTCGCTTATTGCTCGGGGTCATCTACACCCCGAGAAGGATGTGTTCCAGGTGTCCCACAACAATAACTATCTCTGACCGAAGTTGCCCGGTCATAAACTGGTAACAACAACAAAATGCTTGGGCAGCCCCTCCTTAAGGGAGATAGCGGCTGAACAAGGTTGGGCATCTGCGTCAGAGGGCAAAAGGTAAACATGTATACAGAATTATTCCCTGACAATACCAACAAAACCTTTAGATACTACTTTAGCCATCTACTTTCTTGTGGTCTTTAAATTATTTTATCTATTTAACTTTCAGTCAAAGCACTAATTATGTTACTGATGAAGTAAATGATTCAACGTTCAGTTATTTCACTTCTCTCTCACTCTTTAGACTAAGTCACCCTCTATTGGCAACTATTGATATAAGGCAAATGCCCTGAACTGAGAAACTATCTAAGACTTATGACATTGCACTTGTAATAATACACATATATGTTTATATTTTAATCTCATTATGCAGACTGGTTAAGAGTAGCCTATTAAGGCAGTAAAACCATATGGTTATATTTTATTGATCATCATTTTTTCCTGAAATGTTAACATGTTGGGAACAGAGATTTTACAGAATAATCCACAAACAGCAGTAACACCTCTGTTAGTCAGTAGGGGGAAACCTAGAGTCTGTGATGAAAATGAAAACAACAAAATGGAAGTTCACCTAAATTGACTAATGTTAACATTGTGGAGCCGAAACATCTGATTACCTTTAGATAAAATACATAATGTTTGTTGAAATAGAAGTCCCACAGTGATGCAAATAGTCAAACACACTGACAGACCTTTATTAACCTTACTTACTTACTTTATTTTCACATGAAAGCAATATTTAACTTTATAAAATACCACCACTACATTGGATATATAACAACTATAAAAAGGAAAAAGACTTTGCATTAGAACGTATTGCAAACAAGCAAGCAACAAATATAATCACATGAGAAAAACAACAAACTATTATGCACATGATTCAATCTGAGTTTAAAACTTTAATTATATAAATGAACATGATTCAAAAAGAGTGAAACAATTCAGGCATCTCGACTTGTGATCACATTAACTGTAGGCACAATTCAATACCTTTGTTCTGTGAGAGTGATACAAATGCAAAACAACACTAACAGACCTCAGATAATAACAACGCATAAACTGTGAACACAAATAATAATTTTAGAATAAAAACAGCAGATTACTTCCACTCCCTATCTTCACATGCTTAAAGATGATGAGAGACGACCTGAGTTGAACTTCAGATGGCTTACATCTCAACCATCACAACAGACTCATCTTGATGTTCCCTCTCTGGACGGTAAGCAGAACCTTCAGCCTTCTTGTATTTATTTTTCTTCCAAGCAAAATAGACAGCAATCCCGATTAATGCAAAAACAACCACAGCTGCCCGCACACCACATACGAGCAGGGAGTGATCAGCTGGGATAAAGAGACACAAAAAACAACATGTCAAGTTAGTTCTGTGACAGGAGAGTTCATGATTACTAAGAACCGTCTCTGCTGGAGGAAGAAACCGCTTATTGGAGGGTTTTATGGACACATTTATAACACTCTCCTACCCACAAGTCTTAGTTTTCATAGATTTCTGTAAAACTACAACTCATCCAGAACGCTGCTGCCAGACTCCTCACCAAAACTAGGAGAATTGACCACACCACCCCAGTTCTCAAAAATCTGCAGTGGCTGCCTATTACACAAAGGACACACTTCAAAATCTTACTTTGAACATACAAAGCACTTAATGGATTGGGAGCCAGAGCTCTCAGGTCATCAGGAGCGGGGTTTACTCCTTGTCCCCAGAGTCAGAACTACATTTGCCGAGGCAGCTTTTAGTTCGCTACGGAATACACTGACATCGCTAAGGAACACAGTGACATCGCTAAGGAACACAGTGACATCGCTAACGGAACACAGTGACATCGCTACGGAACACAATGACATCGCTAAAGAACACAGTGACATCGCTATGGAACACAGTAACATCGCTAACGGAACACAGTGACATCGCTAACGGAACACGTGGACATCGCTAAGGAACACAGTGACATCGCTACGGAACACAGTGACATCGCTAAGGAACACAGTGACATCGCTACGGAACACAGTGACATCGCTAAGGAATACACTGACATCGCTAAGGAACACAGTGACATCGCTACGGAACACAGTGACATCGCTACGGAACACAGTGACATCGCTAAGGAATACACTGACATCGCTAAGGAACACAGTGACATCGCTAAGGAACACAGTGACATCGCTACGGAACACAGTGACATCGCTACGGAACACAGTGACATCGCTAAGGAATACACTGACATCGCTAAGGAACACAGTGACATCGCTAACGGAAGACAGTGACATCTCTACGGAACACAGTGACATCGCTAAGGAACACAGTGACATCGCTAACGGAACACAGTGACATCGCTAAGGAACACAGTGACATCGCTAACGGAACACAGTGACATCGCTAAGGGACACAGTGACATCGCTACGGAACACAGTGACATCGCTAAGGAACACAGTGACATCACGAACACAGTGACATCGCTACGGAACACAGTGATATCGCTAAGGAACACAGTGACATCGCTAAGGAACACAGTGACATCACAAACACAGTGACATCGCTAAGCAACACAGTGACATCGCTAAGGAACACAGTGACATCACGAACACAGTGACATCTCTAAGGAACACAGGGACATCGCTAACGGAACACAGTGACATCGCTAACGGAACACTGTGACATCGCTAAGGAACACAGTGACATTGCTAACGGAAGACAGTGACATCTCTACGGAACACAGTGACATCGCTACGGAACACACTGACATCGCTAAGGAACACAGTGACATCGCTAAGGAACACAGTGACATAGCTACGGAACACAGTGACATCTCTACGGAACACAGTGACATCGCTAAGGAACACAGTGACATCGCTAAGGAACACAGTGACATCGCTAAGGAACACAGTGACATCGCTAACGGAACACAGTGACATCTCTGCGGAACACAGTGACATCGCTAAGGAACACAGTAACATCGCTACGGAACACAGTGACATCGCTACGGAACACAGTGACATCTCTACGGAACACAGTGACATCGCTACGGAACACAGTGACATCGCTACGGAACACAGTGACATCGCTAAGGAATACACTGACATCGCTAA